AATCGTCTTTGCTTTTTTCAAAGAAAAGAAAAAAAAAACTGCAAAATTTGCTTTTTTTTGACAATTTTTGGTCAGTGTTAATAATACCTTTTTATAAATGTTAGTTTCAAAAAAAAAAAAAACAAAATTAAGAATTTTTTTAATATTTTTGAACTTGAATAAAATTTGTCATGAAGATAAATAAATAAATGCTTCATCCTTGTATATTAGTTTTGATTAAAAAGAAAAAAAAAGCACAAATTTAACAGAGAATATTTCAATGTTTTCTGATTTGCTATTAAATTATAAATTTTTCATTTTTCGTGAGATTTCATTCATAACTCATTATTAAAATATGCATAATTTGCATACTTAAATCAGAAATTTTATATTGCAAGCATAAAAAAGAAGAATTTTTACGGCATTTCTTAAATTATTTTCAATTTTTCATTTCATTCAAATATTGATTTTCTTTTTCATTTACTGTTTGATAAATTTTCAATTTTATAATTACTGTTATACTAATTGTATGTAATCCAATTAACAAATGAATACATTTTAGTGAGAGCAAGAAACAAGTTGTCCACATTTACTTTTTTTTTTTTTCCCAACGACAAGTTAACTATTATAATGATTTATAGTGAAAAAATTTTGTTTCTTGTTGCTTAAAATATTGCTATATAAATTAATGTTTGATATTATTGATTTGACACTATTCGATAGTATTAATTAGATTTAAATATAGGTATTAAATTAAAGTTAGTGGGTGATAGTCATTCAAAGGACATGTCACAATCAATTCTATAGAAGAAAAAAGAATGAGATGAAAATTAAATTAGCTCATTTTTGATTTCGGAATGAATCAGACTTTTCCCGTAACACGCAAAAAAATTAGATCATAATTTAATTGTATATTTAATAATAGTGATAGTAATAAAGAAATTTTCAGAAAAATATTTACCAACCTATCGAAATACGATTTTCAGGATTTATAAGTACCATATCCGGAAAGCTACTTATTGATCTGTTAGAAAAGTTTGTACAGTTTATTTAGCATTATTTATATGACGATACATGCAAATAAATCATTTTAACTTTTTTTTAAAAAAAAAAAAAATGTATTTTAGACTTTTTTTTTAGCGGAAACAGGAAACAGGAAATTTGATTTTCAGGTCAAAAAGATATGAGGACTTTTTAGAGTGATGAATAATTGTCATCCGCTAGAAATATTTATGGAACGAGTCATTAACCAGAAAATAATATTTGCAAGAAATAGTTAAAATGGAGAAAAGTTTTCAATTAAAAAAAAAAAAAAAAAAAGACAATGAGAAGTCAGGTCTGTTTATACAGGATGGAATTACTGAGAATTTTAATTACAAAATAAATTGTTGAACTAAAAGCATTTTTTCTTATTTATTGCTTGATTATTTGTTAGAAATTAGTTTTTAACTTTCTACAAACTAAAAGAAAAATTTTTGCTTTGTTCTTCTTTTGCTTCAAATCAGATTTGTTAAAATTTTCTTAATTTTTCTTTTAATTTTAATTATTTTTTGTGTCTTATTATTTTGTGTTCTTGTCATTTTATTTGATTGCATCTTTTTTAAGAACAAAATTTTTCTTTTCTCTAAAATTTATTCGAACAATATTTAAAAATATGTTAAAATGGCCTAATGTTAGCTAACAGCTTAATGCCAGCCAATAATTTATTATTAACCAACTTTACACGCATTGATTATCAAAATTTAATTTCAGTCAATTAAAGATTAAATACTATTTAATTTTTACTGTCTGCAGAATTTGCATGCATTTGGCAAAATAGTGATATTCCCAAATTTTCGTAGCATTTAAATCCTTCAATTTTTCATTTCGTTAAACTTATAATTACAATATTTTTTCTTTTTTTAAAAAAAAAAAAAAAACTTTTTTTTATTTATTTGCTTGCAAATGTGTATCGATTATTCAAATTTTTTATAAATATTTCAGAAAAAGCAATAAATCATATTGGAATGATTTTTTCTTTCTTTCTCTCTCTCTCTCTCTCACACACACCTTCCTTTCTTCATTCCAATTTTATTCATTCTAATCACAAATATTATTTAAAAAAAAAAAAAAACAATTGGAAATTTAAAAAATATTTTTTATTAATTAAAATTATTAGTAAAATTTTATAATTGAAAAATAATGAGAAAAGCGAAATATTTATATTTGTTATTTATTTTTTTTTATAAAAATGAGCAAAAAACAGAAATGAACAGTGCATTTTCATCATTATAAAATAATAATTAATGAAGCAAGAAAGAAAGACAGGGAAAAGGAGGAAAGAGAAACAGAAAGGGGGAAGGACAGAGAGAGAGAGAGAGAGAGAAAATGCAAATGAAAGAGAAATTAATCGTTTATTATTATTTCTTTTATAATTCATTAAAAATTTTTGTCAATAAATTTTTTCAAATTTAACTTTCTCCCACTTTACATTATCGATTTAATCCCTTTCATATTGTTGTCATCCATTATCCTTTACTTTGCATTTAATATACTTCAAATGTCAACCACTTCTCTTTGCTCCTCACTTGCTCACCCGTCTCTTACCCGCTAATACTTCAGTACATATATTTGCCCGCCTCTTACCCGCTCATACTTTCATTTCCCGCCCCTCTCATCTTTTGCATTAAAATCAAATCTTTTCTCGCTTCACCCAACTTTGACAACAACAATTCAATCTCAAAATTCTTACAATATTGTATTTATGAACAAAGCTAATCTATATGCCATTATTTGCAAAAGTTAAAAAAAAAGACTTCTTGTAGTTTTTTTTATTTATAATTTTTTTTTTTTGCTATTAGTATAATAGTTATGTTAATTGTTGAAATTAATTTTTGCTCATTTGTCATTTTTTCTAAATAAATAATTTTTTATCATTTTCCTTTTTTTTCTTTTTTATCATTTCCTTCTCTTTTTTTTTATCATTTTCCTTCTTTTGAAAGTTTTTTTTTTTTTTTTGCATAAATTAACAGAAGTTATTTTAGCTAAAATTTTCGACTTAATTTTCAATTATGAAATTATAGTTATTTTACATTAAATTAATAATACAGGTTTATATAGCAATTATTTAAATGTACTAAATTATATGTATTAAAATTGTCTCAGTTTTTTTCCTCTCCTTCCCTCCTTTACTTTTTAATTTTTTTTCCAAAGACTTTTGTTGCAGTTTCATCAGACTTTGAAACGAAAGAAAAAGAAAGAAAATTTTTCAAAATTTTGTGAAATTTTAAAATGCAAAATACTTTTCGATGAATTGTCGTAAGATTAAAATGTTCCATAACTTCTGTTATATTCACTGATACTAAACATAGTGATATAAAAAGGAAAGTAAAAAATAAAGAAAGTAAAAAAGGAAAGTAAAAAAAAATATTAAGAATCTTGTAAGGAAAGTAAAAAATAAAAGATTGAGAATGCAATCGGAAATTTTAACCCATAAAAATTTTGAATAATATTGATGAATAATCCGGAATAATTTGGGAAACTAATGAGCAAATGCTTAATTAATTAATATGTTCCCAAGGAGAAGTGATTAATTTTTCTTTCCTCATTAACTTTTTCTCCTTTTTATACATTATTTTCCACCATTCCAACATTTTTCTTTTTCATTTGCTAATGATAAATTCATCTCAATGAATTTATCATTCCTTCGGGAAACATTAAAACCGGTTGTTTCGCGTTTGGCTATTGAATTCGCTCACAAAAATGATTATCATTTAAATCAGTCTTATGATAATTTAATTACTAAGTACTGTTAATCATTTCAATTTATTATCTACTTTTCGATAGAATATTTCTAATATTACTGATGCAGAAACAAGAAACTTATTCATTGGGGAATAAATTTCAAAAATGAATTCATTTTACTTCGTCTCATTTTTCTTTCTTTAAAAAAAATTTTTTTCACTACTTTCAAATATATAAAAGATAAATCCCAGAATAAATATATTGTATGAATGACTAAAGAAAAAAAAAAGAAAAAATTGAGTCATCAAAAATGCATAAAAACAAATATCTGAATTTAATAGTTTTGATTATATATGACTGTATGTCAATTAATTAAATTAGATACAATTTTTTTATTGGCTTCATTAAAATGTATTAATTTTTCATTTGATTGTTTGGTGTGTAATAATTAATGCTATATACGAACACAATTATACAAAAGAATTTATTTAATATATATAAAATTAATAATAGATTAGATCTTAGTAACAATTATTTTATGATTTGTTCAATGTTTTTCAAACTTTATGATGAATAATTACATACTAGAAATAAACGAAATTTTGTTTCAACCATTAATTAAATTGTAACTTTGCAATAATTTTCAAAAGTTTATTTCTCCACTTTTTCCTTTTGTTATATAAATATATTTAAATATCTAATTAATTGATTATCTTTAAAAAATGTTCGTGCACATTAAAAAATTTTAGCATTTGGAAGGGATAAAAAAATCTGATCCAAAAAGCAGCAACCACATTATTTGAATTATTCATATCAAATCGTTAAAGATGGTTGAAAATGATTTCCGATAATTACACTTTATTGCAGTAAAATATTTAAAATTTTCACGTATATTAACTTAAGATTTATACGTTGTTATTACGTCAGCATTTCACATTCAATTGTAATTTCAGGTTTTTATTGATTTTTTTTTTAATGCAAAATGTTGTAATTTATATTTAATATAATAATGCTTATGCATCAGTTTCATTTTTGCTGGTTTTATCTATTTATTCATTTCCATTATGAAATGATTAAAAATTGAATGTGATTTAAATATAGTGAAAATAAAAATTAATTTTTTCATTTCAGTCAAATATTATCAAGTTTCAGCGATAATGTATGACTAATGTATGTGTGATAAATATGATAAATGATTAATTAACTCAAATATAACATTAAGGTTATGCGAATAATTCTGAAAATATTTGAAGTGAAATATTGATTTATTGAATTTTAGGAAATGAAATCATCATAATATGTGTGTGAAATATTTTCACTACGTCCCATGGGCTTCACTTTTTGCCCTTATCATTTCTGTTATTGGCTCTATCATGTTTATCATCCTTTTTGATGGTGCATTACAAGGCTTTTCTGAACAGGTTTTCATTTCTTCTGTCTAAAAATTTAAAAATCATTCCTTTTTATTTAATTTTAAAAATTCAAATTAATACAAGCAAATTTCTAAGTGGTTTAATAACAGTTTATCAAAAATTTCCCTCAAAATTAAAATTTTTTTTTTCAAATTTTTTTTCAGTACTTCTAAAAATTTTTCCCTATATTTTTCGTCTTTAATTTACAATTCATGATTTCTTATAGTTGTTCTGAATGAAATAAATAACTGAGCATTTCAAATATTTATTAATTTTTGTCAACACTTACTTTTTCCATTAATTGATAAATAGCCGATGACCTTCGATCTGTCAAAAATAAACGATCTCCATTATATGCATACATTAATATGTGGGTAAAAGAGAATGACATTAATATAAATTAGTTTATAAGACAAATAACTTGGAGAATTACTGAATTTTAGATTGAACTATGCAAACAGATGCTGAATTTAAAACAAATAACTTAGGGCACGATCTGAGTTTCCAAATTTACTTTTAAATTGAAATGTGTAAATATGTTAAAAAATCAATTTATATAACCTAAGATAGAATTTACTTTTAATTTAAAACATGTAAACAGGTTAAATTCCGTGGTATGATTCATTTCAACTTGTTTGTCAACAAGGAAGATTTGAATTTCAGTTGTATAACCCTAACATAAGATGTATTTTTAATTTATACTTTGTAAAATGGATTATAATCTGATTTATATAACTTAAAAATTTTTTCTTATCTAAAATATATGTAAATAAATTGGATGAAATATTTACAACAATCATTAATGAATATGTTAAAATTATTTTACAGCTTAATGTATTAGTACCGGTGGGTACATTTTCGAAATTTCGATGGCTTTTTATCGCTATTACATTGCTTCTTATCATTGCAGTTATTGGTTTCCTGTTTGTTGGAGCAGCCGCTACAACCGGTAATTAATTTCATTAATAAATTTGAAATGTAGCAAAAATTTATCTAACAGATGCAGAAGAAGAAATGACAATAAACTTATGAAATTTTAATTATATAATTAATTATAAGCACACTTTTATTGATGAGAATAATTGTAATCAATCATTTTATTTTTTCCTTTTTTTCGATCAAAAGAAGATTGAAATTCAATTATTTCATCATTCCTTTTCTTTCCGATTTTTTTTCTATTAAATTTATCTTTATTTTGTTAGTCATACAAAAATTATTATTTGAAAATTTAGCAAAGTTTTTGAAAGAACTTTTTTTTTTTCATTTTATTAGTTGATAAAGTAAAAAGAGGCGGTAAAATAAAAAAGAGGTTGAAGAAAAATTTGAAACTAAATTTAATGGAAATTAAATGGAATATAATTGCTGTAACGAAATTTTGTAATCTAATGCTTAAATTATCATAAGGAATTATGCTTTTTCTTCTGACCAATATTAAATTGCGCATTACAGTTTTCTCACAACTATAAATTGTAATGTAATTACTTTTGTTAAGTGTGAGAAAGTTAGAATTAATCTGAAATAATGACAGCATTGACCTTCCAGTGGTTTCAAACAATTTAAAATTTGTGACACATTTTAATGCAACATATTTGGTCAAACTGAATACTAACAATAATGATAATAATAAATAATAATAATAATTAATAATAATAATCAATAATAATAATAAATAGTAATAATAATAATAATCTTTTCCATACTGATTATTCGATATGATCGATTTATCTTCTTGTCATATGTCACAGAGGTCAATAAGAAATTATTTGACTAACACTACTACGTTAATACAAAAAAAAACACTTTTTGATAATTAATTACAAAGTATTAAATCATTTGTCAACTTTTTCATTTTTTTTTTTTTCTCTTTTGGAAATTCTTTGAAGTATTAAGATATCAATGATTTCAACATTTAAAAATTATTTCATTTTCTTTTCCTTACAATTTTTTGTGCTAGAAATTTTATCGAATGAGCAATTTTAATAATTTAATTGATTATTGCTAAATTTTTGATAATTGTTAGTTTGTCATCAAGTATACTATTACTAATGTATGTTAGTAGTTCTGATAAATTATATAAAATCGTAAATTTTGAGGAAATTAACAATAATTCAAATCCAACTTTTATCGTGAAAATATTATTCGCTAGTAACCAATAATACAAATAAATTAACGCCGCGAATATGCGTTCGCTGTATTTACCTACGAATATGAGATGAAGAATACAATCAGTAAAAAAATATAAAAGAAAGGAAAAAAAAAAAACTAAACACAAAACTATGCATTGTTGAATACAAGCGACCTCTGACCTCCTCATATAGCCAATAGACACAAAGTATAAGGCAGTTCATATATACAGAAAAGAGATCAATCTAACAAAGAGCTGTCAGTATATAAGATAAATGCCAGGAAACCAAGTAAGAAATAAGTCAATCTTTAGTTTTATGGGGGTAATACAATTTTATTTGATATAATTTGTACGTTATTTGGAGGTTCGCAAGACTTATTTCAAATTTCGTGATAACTTTTTTTTCATAAAAAAGACAATTTTCTTCTGAAAAAAAATTTCATCTACAGTAATTAATCAAATATAGCAAAAAATGGAAAGCATATAGAAACCAACAAGTTTTAACAACTTAAGAAAAGATCAAAAAAACTTCTGCAAATTTTGGTTTATTTAACTCTTAATATAAATTATTATTGATTCATAATTGTTGGTATGAAACTATCAACAATTATGAAATTGAAAAAAAAAAATTCCTTATTGTTAAGCATAATAAAAAATGAAAGATGAAAAAAAAAAAAAAAAATTTTTAAATTTCAGTATCAGTTCGTTTTCACACGAAAGCAGATATACCTGATGAACGATCATTTCTTATTCGAGTCAGCACATCACCGTGTATTCTTGGCTTATTATCATTGGTACTTAGTACTTTAGGTGCATTTCTTTCTGATATCATTTAACTTAGATAATTTAAATTTAAATGGTTTGATTTTTCTTTTGTATTCATTGTTAATTGATAATTAATCCATGTTTCCTTTTCTTTTTTTTTTTTTCAGAAATGTATCTCAAATAATCGCAATTATATGAAAATATTTTGTAGATATTATATCCTTATCATGTAAATATGTAACATAAAATTACACATAAAAGAGAATTTTAGTAAGACATTAAATAATAATTGTGGAATTATAATAATCAAATAATTTAAAAAAATATATATTACATTTGTAGTAATATTCTGGTGCGCAATTGTATCAATTAATGCCGTATTTGCGTCATTTTACATTGTATTTATTACTGCTATATACTCATTTTGTAATATGGTTGATAATCAGTGCTTTGATTTCACCGTTTTACTACCTGCTATTGTTAATCGAATTAACAATAAGGTATGTATATTTATTATTTCAATTTTTTAAACTGCTATAGTGCTGAAAAATTTTAAACAGTACATCATTTATAATATATGTAATAAGATTTTACATTCGTTACAAGTTTTCTTCATCTTATTTTTCACATCTTTTGTAATATTTAATAAATCATTAGGATTAATTAATATGAGGGAAAACAACTCATCTCATTATGCTGACATTTTAAAAATATTAATTGGCAACATCAGTTAATTAGTTCAGAAATTATATTGTTATATACCAAAGTATCATTGAATCGATTCTTTCCTTTTCGAAAAAAAAAAAAAAGGAAAACCTTAGTTAAATTATAGAAAGTGGATTTGAAATTTTGCAAAGACAAAAAGGAAGCGTTATGCGCGGCGGAGAATAATCAAATTTGGCCATTTATTGGTGCTTTATCATTTTGCTTTCTTACTCTTGCAGGATTAGTATATTTTCTAATGTGTATGAGTGCTAATTACACAAGGTTTGTTCGTTAATTTCAAATAAAAGAAAATTCGTTATTTTGTAACTTAATTACAGAATTTATGCTATACTTGTTTTTTTCCTCATACTTAATTTTAATGACGTATAGGTGAATTTGATCAAAATAAATCAAAAGTGAAAATTTTAATAATCCAATTTCAATATAGAAATGATACAATTGATTTGCAATGTTTCATTTTTTACATCATATCAAAGAAATCGTTGGAAGTTAATTAAAAATAGCTTTGTAAAATTCTGAAAAACTAAAAGAATGAAAAAAAAAAATTTTAGGATTCGTTCTGAAAGACGGGCACGTAAAGGTGAGCATTATGCGATGAATCAGGGTACCGTTGATTCTAATTCATTCATTCTTACAAATATGGGCAAATAAAGGATTAATAATTGTGATAACAGCTTACAGTTATCATTTATACAAATGTGATAATAGCTTATTAATTGATGATTATTGTTTTTATGATCAAATTTTTTTTCATAAAAGGATTCTTGTTCTCAAAGTTACACATTTCATATGAAACAGGAAGATATCAATGATAGAATTTAATATTTCTATGGAAAATAATGATATTACTCTATGTTTTATGATAATGACTTTATACTGATATACAAAACCATTATATGTAAAGAAATGAGAGAAGCCTATTCGAGAAGACCGATAAATCGTTTGCATAATCCGGGAAATACAAGAAAATCTGGAAAAAATCAGATACAGAATGCACTATGATAGAAGGCTGATATATTATCATAATATATTGTTGTTGAGATAAAAGATAATCCACAGAATGCTACAGTTATTGATAAATCTCATCTATCATAACAATATATCATGCAAAATGATATATTAACTGAGCTAACATATGTCAGATTATGTGACGTCAAATAAGTCAAGCTACGTGACCGTATCATAAAAAAACAACAGAAGCGTTTCACGTATCTTAAGTCACTGTCAGCTTACGTTTTCCAAGTTACGTGCATCTCACTCTATGCATACTTTTGTGGAAATTCCCAGTGAAATGATTCTACCCAACGCATTTCATCGCGGAAACCTCCCAGTAATAACACATTATAGAGACAATTGCGCTGCATCTTTCGATATGTGTCTAAGACGGAATTACTGGCCATTTGAAATTTTTTTGCCGGCTGAGTGTCGGCTTCGCCGATTGAATGTGGGAGGACGTGAGGATGCGTCGGTGGTGTTCGTACGTGACTTTGCCTTTCGGGCCTTTAATATTTGCGCGGGGAGGGGTTTTGTTTGTGTGAAGGAGCGTTTAGACGTTTATGCGATATGCACGTGCTATTTGTTTGAAAGTACACTGGAATATGACTTCTGTGAATCGATAGCACAGATGAGCGCGTGATTTTTCATCGTATATTGATTAAAAATTTTATATGATTGAATGGAATTTTGTTGCTCTATGAACTAACTCTATATCATTTCAGTATTATTAATAACTTTGCAAGATCTCCTCTCTTCTTCCAGATTTCTGGAAATAATTTTCGAAGTGATTAAAAGTGATCGTAACTTACTGTCTGATATTCGTTGGTTAAACGCTGACGTTTTCTTTTTTATATATAGATTTGAATTTAATCTTGAGACTTAGTGCTTAATTTCGAATGTGTTTATAATAAATTTCGTTTGATCAAGGACGAATTAACGTTAATTTCTGATTTAGTAATAAAGATAAGATAATCATAAATTATTTTTTGCTATCTTATTTGAAATTATTATTTTTTGTCACTTAGTTAAAGTTCTGCATCCTTGTGATCATCTTTATGTCGGAAATATATTATTTTCGTATTTAAATTTATTTTTTCTTTATGAAATCGTTGGATTTGGTTTAGTTTTAATCAAATTATGATTACTGTGCCACCAATCATAGTTAAATCGTAATAGTAATTGGGTAACTAAATTCTGACTTTCTGTTGTTGCATTACTTTCGTCAGCATAGTTAAGGACAGAATTTTCTTGTGGTATTCATGCCTATAATCACGACATGAAAAATTTTCAGTAGACAACGTTTCTCCTTCACAATCTTCATTTTTTAGCTATCTCATTTAATAATCACTGTTACTTTCCATGATCATACTGAAAGCAGAAATGGTTTCCTTGTACTCAGTTATGATTTCACTGCCGTTGTCACAATGTTACTGATAATAATCAGATCTCGAATGTGATAGTTTATGGTCGCTATTGCTGTAGTTAACTTCCGGTATAGTTCAATACATTGGTATGCGAAGATCGATTTTGAACAGCTTTGATATTTTATGACTTTACTTAAGGATTCAAACATATGTTAAAAAGGATTGGTTTTGGTTCCAACGACGAAAACTAGACGTTTATACGGGAATCGTGAAGGATTGTTACTGTACATATATAAACATATATATATATATATATATTTATATACATATTCCACATTATTTAACGTACATAGCATTGTTATGGATGATCAGTACGATCAACAGATGCGGGATGATGATTCGATAGAACTGAAATCAGATTCTGATAATAGCAAGAAAAGACGATATGCTACAAAACGTGGTATGCATTTCTTTTTACGTTTCTTTTATTTTTTTGAGTAATATTGGGAACTTACTAAAACGATTCCATGTTCACTTATTCGATCGTGATCGAATAGTAACTTTTAGTCATACTTGAAAATGCGATTTAGCATCAACAAACAGAAAATATGGCGACAAAAACAGAGAGAGCCAATAGAACTATCGAATGCTAAACTTACTATTTAGTTATTTTTTGGAACCATCCATGGTTTCAAGTTAGGAAATCATAGGATTGGATATATACATACATGGGATAAAAACTTGAAAATTGGGAATTATATTAAATCATTAGAGTGGGAATTAACATGACGTTTATTGAAGAGATATAAAAAAAGTAACATTTTACAGCAGCTCAACACAGTAATGAGATATGATATTTTATTCCTTTTTCAGCTTTTCTTGTCAATGATTCACATTGTTCTGCGCCGTCGTCATCGCCACATTCAAGCCCGGTTGACGCTTCAGTTCCCACTGATTTCAGTTCTGGCGAATTGAATGACGCAATTCAGACATACAGCCGATGCAAAAAGTTGAACTTTTCCTTCATTTCTGGATTTTTTTCTGATTCATTGCAGGAAATTTATGTGACAAGATTTCATGCAAAGTAATATTAAGTGAGGGCTTGTTGAAAATTGTATAATAGCTTACATAATAAGTAAGCATATGTTATTTGTTCCACTGATTGAAACTCCGAATGGGCATTGCAAGAACTCGCCTTCGCAGAGCCAACCAATATACTTTTTATCGTTACTAATGATAGCCAAAGCAGACATTTTGAGTACTAATTAAAGTATTGGATTTCCTTAGAGATGAAGATGCCAGTAATACGCACTTCTACAATGGGATGAAAGCAGATACCCACTAGGTGTCTTTACATCACAAGTCTTTTGTGAAGTCATGCGCATAGATAGATTATACTACCAAATTTTCTGAATGGTTTTTCTTTTTGTAGTGATAATTTGCCGACGAAATCAGAAGATGAAAATGGAGACTGGTGGATGCATTTTGATGAAATGCCGGTACGAGATGAGGAAAATGACTCACCTTTACTGGTAGTTTTATTTTTTCTAACAACGCGTTAATCTTTACTGCAACCCTAAAGTTCTTTTTTCTATCCTGGAAAATCTATATTTCATGTTTCACTTATTTTTGCAGCTTTTTTTTATCGGGAGTTAATAGGCTGGCATCATTTTTTGATTTTTTTGTTGTGAGGTTAATGGAATCATGCTGGATAATAATGACGTCAGACAATTCACCCCTTACATGTTCTTTTAAACTTGTCCAATTTGAACTTGATTTATTTTCATTTATATTTTTACTTGGGATTTAGGGTGTCGTTTATTTAAGTGGCAAATCAGGTTCTAGTTTGTATCATTACTGAAACATTAAAAAGCCAAAAAAAATTATGTTAGGATTAAAATCTAATTTCTGAGGTTTCTGAACAAAGCACAAATTTTTACATAGACTAGCGAAGAGTTATTTCTTGATTCACACAGTCTGGTTATTAATTATGTTAACGGAAATTTAACGGCAAATGTCATACGCTTCTTAAAACTATTTGTGGCCGTTTCCAGGGCGATCAGATAAAAGAAGTCACTCATCGAATGAACGAGTAATCAGAGGTTGGAGGTCCCGCTAATTATAATGAATAAGGGATATCAAAAATCTGTTAGTAAAAAGAAAAAAAGAAATTGCAGATTCGAACATCAGTGAGTCCTGCTTTTGCTAAATCGGGTGTAACGTTTGATAGTGGTGGAGCATCGTCCAAACCTTCACGTGATATGGAGTCAATGAAATATGACATGGCGGGCTCTGCTGCTGTGGTTGGAGTGATGCACACTCTAACTGGCCGAAAAGCGAAGATAAATGCAGTCGGTGTGGTTGCACCTGCAGAAAATGCGGTAGATGGCTTTGCTGAATCGATGAGTTCCAAAAGTGAGCTAGAAGATGTGGTGGAAAGTGTGGAAAGTCCACAAAGTAAATTCGATTTGAATGAAGATGACGGGCAGACACCGTATCCGTCGACACCATCGAAACGGCAAAATGTGGATTATTTCCAAGAAAATCTTGATTTCTCCAGTGTTCCAGAAGTACTACTACCATCAGTTTTTCACAGTATGTTGCACATTTACTGATTTATTAAGTCGAATTTTAATACATTCTAAACAAAGCACATAAGGAGTGGAATTTTTTGATAAATACATGTATGCAGCTTCCAGAAATATTGTTACAAACTAAAATATTTTGGATTGTTTCAAGTATATTTTCTGTAGGATTACTGCCCATATCTTATTCAGTTAGTTAGAAGCAATCCTATTTGTACATCAAATCATGATTACTTTGTTTAATTGAAGTCTCCAGTCATGTGTAATACTACTTATACATAATGATAGTGAACAGTTTTTAACTGATTGACTAAGGAAATATTAATTTGTTTAGAAATATATTGCTTAAATAATATGCTATGAAAAAACTCGATTTGTTTCCCTTTTTATATCTCATTTCTAGTAATGGGAATATATGGAATATTCCAGAGTGCTTATTTGTAGAGCAAAAATGTTATGCAGCGTTCTATATTATTCTTTATTCTCACGAATTCTAACTGTAGTCTCCTCTTAAAGTTTGCAAGTAATGAGCTCTCCCTGTTACTGTTTTTGCACTAAACGTTTTTAGCGTTCTTCAATTGCTAATTCATACTTTCTCAAAAGTCGTGTGTACTTTATGGTTATTTTTATTCTGTTCCTTCAATCCCTTTAATTTCTTTCAAATATTCAGCATTGCAAATCTTCATGATCGAATAGTACTGTTCAAATTATTTTTCCAAATTTCACAATCTAAATTTTTTTTGATAGTTGTTAATTTACAGTAAAAAAATCTGTCGTTTCTTTTCAATTTTCATTTGATTCCCAATTAACAGTTAAGCGAGATTGAATTGGCTACTACCGTTTGTTTAACAGTTACAATGTTCTCCAAGATACTACTAGTATGAATTTAGGGAAGAAAAGATAAGTTGCAGACACGTCACCCCAACCTGGGAAAAAGGTAGCATGTTACTTAACAGGGATGGAAATTTTGTCAAAAAATAACGGTGGAATAAGAGCGTGAGATTCATCGCAACATTTCAGAAAGTCCAACTGGTAGAGCAATGTCAAGCTCGGCTCCAGCATCCACCATTGGGTCGTCATCTTCAAATATGTGTGATCCTTTGCAGCGGCCAAATACATTTGATGTTAAAACATCACCATCAGCACATGCCGAGTTAAATTCAGTTGCAAGTGAGAGGCCAAAAGAATGGGAGGATTTCACTGAATTACCATCCGGGATGTTGACTCGTTTATTTGATCAGTTACATCGTGCAAGGTTGTTTTCTTTTATGAAGTGGTTGAGATTTTAATCGTAATATAAAATTTTCCAAAAATGGAAAAAAGGCAAAGGATCGAGAAGCATTTTATTAATAGGAAATATTAGGAGGAAAAACAAATATTTGAGAATGTGTGTAATATGATGAGTTGTGGGATGAGGTTGCCACACAATTAAAGAATTAAATAGTTGAATTTTTTCAAATTTGCCAAAATCAAGGACATAATTTGAAAATTCATGAATTGTTTACGTTTTTCATCTGCTTAATCTTGGTATGTTTTACAGATGGGTGGTACCAGTCTTACCGAAGCAAGAGCTAGAAGGACTGATGGAAGTTGCAATTGTGCTAATAAAACGAGGTATTCACTTTGGTATTAAATACTAATGCTAAGTCAATGACAAGGTTTTTCACCATAATTTTAAAACTGTAATTGTAGCGTTGGAAAGAGGAAGATAAGACATGTGCATATTTGAACTAATTATCAGCTGTATCAATCAACTCCTGCTTTTCAAGAAGGAGGGAACAGATAAACAACTATGTTGATGGATGCTTGCGTATTTGTTGATAATAAAACTGAAGAATATGAAGTTAATTGTAGAGTACTGGGATTTAATTCTGTTAAACGTTATTGTACTAGTAATATCGGGAACATAGTTGATACTGAGATGCTGTGCTAGGGAATAGCAGTGATTGACATTTAGCAGCATTGCAGGAACCGATAAGACGTCGAAATTTTTCGAAGGTTTTCTCGAAAAAGGACTAGAAGTTGCTTTCGATAAGTTGATGAATGATGAGGCGATGAAAGACTGGAAGATCGAAATCCATGTAATTTCTCATAAATCGGATTTTCTTCATTATCATAGTTTTATAGCTGGATTTAAGTTATATATATTTGTTTAATACCGGATTTTAACTACCTTTTTTTTTTGTTTTGTTTTGAATATAACTGTGATTCATAGACAATACAGATCCACCTAATCCATTTTTTTTCGGATTTTTTTTCATAATCTTTTTGTGTATTGAGAATGTTTTGAAATTAAATTATGGAAAAGTTTTTACGTAATGTTATCATAATTGGCTGTGGGAAAAAAGATAGAATTGCAGCGATGCTTTAGAGGGAAAATGTAAACAAGATAAATACTTTAAGATAGAAATGAATATACCGCTTCCTGTCACCCGTACACAATTTCAGTGCATTTCGGGGATATTTATGTATTATCTATGAAAACCGAATTGATTTGCAACCGTGATTTGCAAATTAAGCGGTCGTTTTTCATTTAGTATTTATTGGGAATGCCTTTTTACCGAATTGATTTGCAACCGTGATTTGCAAATTAAGCGGTCGTTTTTCATTTAGTATTTATTGGGAATGCCTTGTTTCTTTAAAAATCTGAGGATTGTAGCCCTTCTGTTTCTGCTGTTGTTAATGAAGGAAATGAAAGTAGTTTAACGCATGAAATGGCTGAGAATAAATTTTCTTTCATGTTAAAAGATTTGAAAAATTGGATTGCAGCGATTTATTTGGCTAAGTGTTGCACGATTCCTCATAATGTTCACGGAAAAAATGCGGCAAACACTTGTAGCAGAAGATTTTCATCATTCATACTGGAAAATACTGCAATACGTCATGTCCAGCAATAGTCGGTATGCTTTAAAGCTGCCGAGTTTTTTGTTCAGTTCTGTGAAGTATGTTATTTGTTTGCTTTTTTCTTCTTTTTTATGCTTTGATCTGATGACATGTTATAATTTTTTGCCGTTCACTTTTGATGAGCTACTCTTTAATTTTATTTCTTTAAAATACAGAATAATAAGAATCCCAGTACCCTGTCTTTTTAAATAAGTCTAGAAATAATTTTCAAATTTTGGGAGAAGCAAATGAAGGCGAAAATGTACACAAAACAAGGTTAGAAGAAATAAGATAAGATAGAAAAAAGCAATCTAATTGGTGTTAATTTTTTTGCCTGTAAATTTGGAAATGATAAACTAATTTTGAGAAAAAAATTTTTTTTTTTTTTTGCAGTGCTTTTTTTTTTGTTTTGTCTGTTGTTTATATATATATATATATATATATATATATATATATATATATATATATATATATATATATATATATAATGGGATGGAGATATTTTTCTTTGTACTAGTAATAGAATGATCACACCGATGTAATTGTCATACACATTATACTTTCAGTTTTCATATGCAAAATTATGGACGTAAAGCGGATTTCTTGGAGATGGAATTTGATCCAAGTGAACTGATGCGTTACACCTCGATTAATACCGTTGAAGAAGTGTATCAGGTTGGCAAACTTTAATCTAACTTATGTTGTTAGCGATAAAGTTTACGAAACTTTCTCTTCAGCTGATGGTGGTCTTATTCTCTCTTATCCGAATCTAGAGTGTTCTGATTTCTCAGCAGTATATTCTCACTGTTCTTGTTTGAATTCTGTCGTTCCAGTATTTGCATTTTTTAAAACAGTTGTTTGCATACTTGCTTTGAAGGTGCTATTTTTGCTGTCGTGCACAGCAAAAATGAAAATTGAACATTGTAAAAGAGTTGTACTCTTGAAAAAGCCTTTATTATTATCCACACGAATCCTGCATTATTATTTGCTTCCTTACTTTTTTATTTCATTTATCATTTTCCAATCGTCTTGAGTTTCAGAGAGTTTTGCAATTATGGCTTTTGCTATTACTGACATATTTCGGAAAGATTGGCGGCTTCACATTGATGAAGAATTTCTTAGAGAGAAATGTTAATGAAACAACAAAAATTACTGATTTTATCGATTGGCTTCGACCATTTGCTTCTTGTTCACTCCTGTTAAAACCATCAATCATTATAGAAACTTTCGGTCCGACTATTGTAAGTGTTGCTTTTATCACTACGTAATCTTCATAATAAAGTAATGAACATGAACGAACTGGAACGGAGAAAGGTTAGGCGAATAAAAAGTGTGGAGTAATAATTTATGTTGCTTGATGTTTCAGTAATACTAATCAGTAATGAAAAAATGAGTCTCGAATATTTCATAGCAAATTAAGCTTTTTCGATTTCGGGAAAAGTTAGAGGGAGAAGGAGAATTCATTTTTGTAAATATTTAGTGTCGAATTTCTAAATACGACTTCCTCATCATCTGACTGGCCAAAAAACTGGTCGACATTATTTCGTCATCATTTTTGTCATGGTGTAAGAGGTGAAGATGGGTTTGTGATTGTGGATGAAAGTAATTAATTCAGATAATTGTGTAAACAACTGTGAGGAATGAATATGCTAATCATTTTTTCGGAGATATTGACATCTAAAATTTAGCAAATAGCAGTGGCACGATTGGAACACATGGACGATAAGGAACTGAAATGCGAAACGGTGAAAGGTGATTTGAACGAATCACCATACGTTGAATTAGCAAAAGTATTACAAAGTCTGCTGTTGATTAATCCAGAGATGATCCACCTAGGACGACAAATGCCGTTTTTCTCACTACGATACATTTTGCGGTATAAAATATTAAGAAATAATTGCTTTTCCATTTTTTTAATAGATCTGTTCCTAAATTCCTTGCATAAAAATTAATTGGTTTACGATTCTGTTCCCAACATGCAAGAATCTAAAAATTAAGAATTCTCGATAATGATTTAAAAAATCTAAATCTAAAAAAATAGGAAAAAACATACAGGGGACTTGTAGGCACCGAATTGAGTTTATGTATATTTCAGAGGCAAAAGCGGTATCATTAGAAATCATTTCAAGTTGTTACTTTTCTTCAAAGAGTAGATTAATAGCAGGAAGAAATTTCAGAGTACTTCAAGTAGCACCTTTTGCTGGACGTATAGCAGCTTTGGAAGAATTACATATGGTTCTGCATAATGCGGCGTCAGAATTTCGGCAGGTGTGCTGTCACCATAACATTCCTAAGCTTTAACAGAAATAACTTTGACAACTGCATTTTATATTTTTATACCGTTCTTCCATCATTTTTCGCTTTGTTTCAGTATAGTATTTCCATAATTAACACGTATTTCTTTAGAGAAATATGAGAAATATAAAATCATAACGTTTGAAGCAAAAAGTGAAACCAGTATTTTTCTTCATATTCATGATATTATCATTCTTTCAGCAAGAATTAGTAATTTCAATGAATGATTTAACTGAATGGTTGAGGAAGCAACACCTTATCGAAATATTAGTTCGCGATAATTTGCACCATCCGTCATATTGTGAAAGGTTTTGCATTTTTTCATTAAAAATGAGCTTCACTAAAAGATTTAGGCAGGTAAATTTTATTTAATAATTATATTGATTGTCTTGTTATCAAATTGATATTTGCAGGTTAGAGAGAGTGTTTCGAGTGCTACTAGAAAGAAATGCTATAACAATTGATGATTTGGATATCCTGTGGAATGTACAACATGAAAAGCATGACGTCATCCAACGAAATGTTCATGATCTAATAGCTAAGCTAGTTAACGGACTGAACAACACATTGCAGAAGCACTTATTTGAACGAATGAAGGTGAGAGTTTTTAATTCTCAATTTTAGGGTTTTTTTGATTTATAAAGATTTTATAAATTCAGTACACACTATTTTTTTTTTTTTTTTCAATATGTAGCTGTCCCTGTTTTTTTTTTTTTTTGATTCATAAATTTAAAGAACTGAAATTAGAATTTGAAAATCAAAATACTAATCAGAAATGTTGGGAATTATTTATATTAAGGAGAGTTGGACAAAGTCATCTGCAAGACAACGAACACTTCTGCTTGATCTCATACGTCGAATTGGCGTTGACTTCAGTAGTCTTACTGAAAAGGTGACTCTAATCATTTTCTATTGCTTAAAATAATTGACCTTGCGATCAGTAGTGGCATGTAGTGCTCTGTAAATAATTTCTACCAATCGAAGTCTAAGAGTAGTAATAATTGCATAATATAGAAACCATAAGAAGTTATAGCCCTCATTTTTTAAGTATATAAGAAGTTATGACTGCGCAAGGGTAGTTTTGGACAACAGTCACATGATATGATTCGATATGTGAACCTCTTTCGAGATTCCAAAATCTTGGCTGCATTTGACGATGGTTATGCTGCTATCAAGAGATGGATTGCTTCAATGATCTCATTTTTCATTACTAACATGACCAAAATTTCCAGGAATTAACTATAAAATCTCTTTCGCTGCTGTGGGATTTATTTCATGATGAGCGGCTACCTGTAGAAATGATTGATGCTGCCCTAGAAGCACATTTCAATGTACTAGAAAGTGCAGTACCTGCTGAAGAACTACGGCGACATTACATTGAACGTTGTATTGATGAACTACTTCTGGATTCGGGTAATTCATTCAAAATCATTAAGTAACTGATAGTGGTTTTCATAATAAAGCCATGAGGCACAACAGAAGCAAATCGTACAAAACTTTCATTTATCCTGGAAATGAGCTATATTTGGAATATGCAGTATTAGTTGACTTTAAATTAGTAAAATTATAACGCCATGCAATTTTCGACTCAGTTTCTTAAATTCCTATTTTTTAATTTTTTTAGTTTCCTGGATTTAGATGATTTCTTTTTTGATCAGAGACGATAAAGACACAATATTGTTTCACTTTTTTTTCAGTATTCGTGCTTCCGGCATTAAAGCATATGCAGCGATTAATGATGTTAATGCCAGAATGTGATTATAGTACAGGCAGAAAAGTAACACGGTTAGTTCATTTTCAGATAACGAAAGCATTCTTAACCTTTAATCCATGTGCATCTTAAATTCTTTTTTAAAACTGACATCATTTTGCTAAGGAAGTTGTGCAAACAAAAGTGGTCTTTAACTGATATTTTCTTTCAGCTTTGTATTTTACTTTCAGCATTAGGATGCATTTTATTGTCTTTTTCATTCTATATGCTGGCACGAATCAAATTAACATATCTGAATTTAAATAAGTGGATTAAGTTGAGCAGTTTTGAAAGACATATGATGTAAAAGAAATATAAGATAAAAGGAGAAAAGGAGGATACATGGGATAGTAATAGTAATGAAAATTATCAACAGTGAATTCGAGAAAAAAATGATATGTTTTGTTGTTTATGTTTTTCATTGTTTCAAGATTCTTAATATCTAATTTTTTTTTCCTTTTTTTTTGGAATTAATTTTTTTTTTCTTTTTTTTTTTTAAGGGCGGAATATATCGCTACTGTACAGCAAGATACGGAACTGTGCTCAAGATTGTCGAAAAACGTTGCTCTCTACATGGAAAAAGTCCGAAATGCTGTGGTATACATCTAACAATAATAATAAACATTACCTATTATATCGAATTATTTAAAAAAATATAGAACTTCATTTAGTTTACACTGGATGTCTAACAGCTAATAAAATTTTTTTATTATGTCGATAATTTTCAGAACGACCAACCTCATGTTTATGTTGCTGTGGAAGATGCAAGTGTTTTAGTGCTTGTTGGCCGCTACACTCATAGCGATAATTTACAAATTCGACTGGGTTTTCTGCATTTCCTTCTCTCTGATGGACAACTTTGGCTTATGACACCGCAGGTTCATTTTATTTTATTTTTTTCTGCTTTTCTTATTCGTTGTTACCTTTAAAGTTTGAAATAGCTGAATGATAACTATCACTGAAACATAAAGTTACAGGCGAATGAGTTATGGGATGCTCTTATCGTTCAATCAGTATTTGAATATGAGCGTACATATGGCTTTCAACTATTTGGTACAATGCAAGATCAACAAGATATTGATCCAAAAGCACTTGACCAACTTTTTACATGTAAACTTTGTTGTTTAAGTCTTTTTAAGTTCTTTTTACATGTTGAAATTTTAAGGTTTCTTTTAAGAGGTGTACATAGGCCTATAGCATTTTCTGCTATTCAAATTCAACACCATAGTAGAAGGGTCTTGCATGATTCTTTAAATCCGTTATTTTAATTGTGGTTGTTAATTACTGTGAGAATATAAACACCGAGATTTTCTTTTTTTCTTAAATATCAAAAGTTTTAATTTCAGCTCGGATCCTAAAACTTCCAGTTGAATTGTTGAACGAGGAAGGCTTTTCATGTTTCAAAACCTTTTGGATTGCAATAAACAAAAGGCATAGTAAACTTTTCCAACCCACTGAAGGAATGTCGCATTATTTGATGTGTGACTTTGATCTTGAGGTAAAGGAACATGTGAAATAAAATACGGTATTGTTTGTATTTCAAGTTCTGCAACTCATCAGGTGATTCGGACTTTGTTATAAGCAGCAATTATGTCACATGAGAAATTAAAGGGTTTAGGGAGAGAAAAACTTAGGGAGATGGGTTAGCACTTTATTTTTTTTCTTTTATTGACAACTTCAGTTCCACATCTCATTGTTGCAATTTTAAGCAGATCCATTATCATTCATCGAGCATACACGTACTTCACATTTCCTCGAGTTTCGGAGTTTTTATCGTTTTCTTTATTTTCAGGGAATGGATTATTTATGGGAAATAATGCTGCAAGCTCGTGCTGAAGTATCACATTTGGCTATTTCTCTATGGGTCGGGATTTTGGCAAATCCTCATACTGCAGTGATCTCTGATTTTGCTAATTTGATTCAAACTGTTGTTAATAAATGGTTAAGTGTACTTTAAAATATTTGATAGCTTCTAATTAGCTATTAGATGAAAAATGGTTGCTCTGCTCATTAATTATTTGCCGTTTCATATGTTCTTACTCTAGACTGAGTCACAGAAGGAGAAAGGAGATCGTAGCTTTGAGTGCTCATATATGTTTTAATTTGAGAAAGTGAACTGTTTTTCTTTCAGTTTCATAATGTTGAAAACGAAACACGATGACCTCATAAAAGGCAATAATAGTGATGAGAAAAAAATGAAAATGCTTGATCGAATGGGTAGAATATTAACGGTAAATTTTCGTTTACAATATTTTTCAGATCACAGTTTTTTAGTTGTGATCTGATTTTTGTTATTTTTTCTTTTCTTATTTTTTGTTTTGTTTTGTTTTAGGATTTTTCAAATAAAATGTATATATTATATTTTTTTCATGCATACTGTGCCAGAAATCTTCATGTTCAGATTAATTTATTAAAAAATTTACTTTAATTCAGGCTCTCAATTCTTATATCTGTGCATTTGATGATGATTATTACATTCCCGAAAGATCTCAGCAGCCACTTCGCAAGGCAGGTTTAGGACGGTGTTTTGTATTACCGGTCGTTTTCCCAGGTTTTCTTTTTTAAATATACATTTTGCATTTGGGCTAACAAACTGTAATAATGAAAGATTTAATTTACATATTTTCTTCTTTCTTTCTTTTTCCATAACCTGAATTTTTTTAACTTTATTTCATGATTTTTTTTACAAAGAATTTTTTTTAAATTGATGTTTCGTTCAATCTTGTTTCATCTAAAAAACTTAATACATAGAATATACGGGAACAAATAGTATAATTAGAAGGAATACTGGATATTTGATTATATTAAAAGTTTCTTTGTTGTTTAACCAAATACTGGACGAGGTGTACATAGTTAACGATTGTTTTGGCAAATAAAAGTTTTTTTTTTTTTGTATGTGTGTGATTTACATCTTTATATGCTTTTAAACATATATGCTTGAAATCTGCATGCAAAATTTGTTCAAAAAAGTTTTCATTTTATTTTATTTTTTTTTTTTTTTCAGATGAGAAGCTACCGAGTAGCGTCGACACGAACTGTGAGTTTGCATTCATTTAATGCCTAAGTTTTTGTGGAATTTATTTGTTTTTACTAAGTTTGGATTTTCAATTCCGGTTTCAAATCAGTTATTCAGTCTTCCCACTTTTTGTCTTTCTATTTGAGACAAAAAATTATCCATACTCCAGCACTAGCAGTGCAAGACGAAGATCATGGTATTCCGGTTCACTCCACTATGTCACTTTCAGCATTGAAACTGAAGGTTTGTAACGGCTTTTTTTTTAATGAAAGTATACATCAGATGTCAAGTTTTACATAAAAGTTGTTGCAAGTTTTAGTCTGTTCAAGAATAGTAATTCTGAACTGCAGAAAAGTTATCAGGAGTTTCAAATATATTGGGAGAATACTGAACATTTATTTTTTGTGTGCAAAAAAAAATCACAACCAAGTTATGATATGGACATGGTGATTCAACATCCAGAATTGTTAAGCTCCTTTGGATGTTTAAATAGGTGTTTTAGATGGATATGGTTTACAAAAGAAAAGTTTTTGACTTTTCAAAATGACCAGTTCCAGATTGATGACCAGTTACGATATATGGATGGTTGCAATATCGGTGGAGTGCTTGTACCAGTACAGTTAACCGTTCAGTCTCTTAATGCGCCGGAAACGAGAATATTGCATTCGTCTGATCGTCGTAAAACACTTGATGAATTAGGAATTGATGCCAATTCACATATTATAATTAATTTTCAAAGTCATTCATGCACATGGAATAGTCGGTTAGCTAGTAGCGATTCGAGCCCTGATCAAACACTTACTTCGTGGTTTGAATTTTCATTTTGAAAAATGTATCATTTGTTCAAAGCTATGCTTTAAGTGGTGTGGCGTAAAGAAGAAGTTTAATAACTGAATGCAAGCTTCTGAAAAGGGTAGATTAAGAAGCAACGTTCTGTATTTCAGTAATGAAGAAAATGAGCTTCTGTATTTCAGTAATGAAGAAAATGAGCGTGGTAATGAAGAAAATGAACGTATTTTACCGGGCGCCGTAATAGCCGAAAACTCTGATCATGTTCGATTCCTTTATACTTTAGCCGACATTGGTTATGCATATGGGAATAATTATTTGAGAAAATCTGCTAGCGATGTTTTGAAGTAGGTTTTACTTTATATTCGTTCAAACTTTTGCTACGTTTTTTTTGGCTTTCTAACCAAGTTTACTTGCTTTTTGAACTAAAAAATTTCAGTCAAATACCACCAGATACAATGTCAGTGACGATGCTAAAGGTATTGGTGGAATCAGGACAGTTATTTAATCTGTTACCATCCGAATCATCTAACTACGTTTTGCATCTTTTGCGCGTTTTACATTCCTTGCTTTTGCCGTGTAATGGACATTTCATGATTGAAGCTACGGAATTCCAGGTCTTTTTCCTAGTGTTTTAGACTTTTATTCTCTGAGAGTTTCCGTTGCCTTCCTGGATCCACGTATTGTGAATTCGAAGACAAACCTTTTTAATACCTACCAATATGATTTTGTAACTTAGAGTTAACGTTTATAGCTTTGAGCTTGGTGACTGGAACTTAATGTTCATAAATGTTAATTTAGATCTTTTTTCTTACGTCACCAAGTTGTTTGGCGGTGTTTTCATTCCTGGAAGATCCTCAAATTTTATGTCGATGGGATGAATATGTCTGTAGCACAATTGTTTGGTGGTTGGCAAATATAGCGAAATTTATTCTCTTTGTAGCCGCACGCCTCAAAGTATGCATATTTGTTCACATTTCTGTATTACTCTGCAGGATAATCATAATGACTTATGACATGTCATCCGCCACTTTTCCCTTGCTGTTCCAAGATTGTTTAGAACAAGGAGGATTTTTTTAGTACTTGAGGACCACCGATGTGGATGGGAGTGGATGTTTTGAAACGGGTCGGATTATTGATCGTGAACAAACAGTTTTTAAAGAGGTTATCATTCTTATATACAACAGTAGTATCTAAACTCTTGTTGCTAGTGAAAAGTGTTGTAATTTTGAAATAGTGTCGCAATTCAACATATTGTGATAAATTCCGAAGCTCGCAGAAATTGTTTCACTGTATTTGTGGGGATGTGTGAAAAAGTAAGCAACTAGTAGAGTAGAAGTTTCTAGCCAGATTGGGTTTTTCTTTATAATAATATTATGGTGTATTATTACTAAACGAAATTTTTCTTTAAAAAAAAAAAGAAAATGAAGGAAAGTTTTCTAGGCAAATTAGCATTCCACTATTTTTATAGCTATGTTGTGTAGTTGCACGTGATCTCAACAATCGCATCGAAGAGAATCCCGAAATCATTGAAACAATTTTTCAATTGTTTAACGCAGACAATAATCGACTTGAATGTCTTCTACGGCTGGCGTGGGCAGTTGGTTCACGAAATATACCATTGCGTCTTATCTCAGGTGGCTTAGCGAAAGATTCATCTATTGAAACAATTCGCCAATCAGAACTTGCAACTTTTATGCTGGTAATTTATTACCCGATACTACTTTATTACCCAAGGAAGAGTCGCAGTTTTTATTCTTTACTCCAGATTCCATAAATAATGCATCCGATGTGCCGAGTGTTTGTAGGAGTATAATTGTGAATAAATAACACTTTTATACAGGAAGAACCCATAGAATGCTTGTTGGATGCATTTGCGATAGAGGTCGTTAATGGAGATTCAACATCAGAAGTTCTCAAAATCATCCATCTGTGGAATCTTCTCGTGTCTGATTTATTGTTCTGCAAAAGCTCGTACGTTTTATTGAGTTTAGAAAAAAGTTTCTGATAATGAATCTCATTCTCATGTTATATAAAAATCGTAGTTCTAGACGGGTGGAGATTTCGTCAACCCGACTAAAACTTTCACAGAACGACCTTGGTAAAATTGTGAATATGTAAAATATGTGGGATTTAGCGCTCCTCTATCGGAAAATTCCCATTGTTTTCAGTGTGATCCGGCGCTATTTCTCAGCTTTAGTTCGGCGGATGGTTTGTCGTAGAGGTGCAGCGGAGCGACAACTTGCATCAGCATTGTTGCAGTTACTTTTTAACAAATTGGAAGAGAGCGATGAAAAGCTAGTGAAGAATGCGGAATTTTTTGTTTTATTATGCAGGTATTTTAGTTTTGTTCGTTGATTGGATTATGGTGTAACTTAAGAGCTTCGTAGAAAAATTGTCGACAGATTCATGGAAGTTAGGTAAAAGGATTATTGAACTTTTGTAAATGACTGTACTGCGGTTATAATTTAACTGTTTTTGGTAATTTGAAGCAGTCAGTTCTTAGCAAAATCATTTCTATGACATAATAATATCAAACTTCATCTTAACCTGTTTCAGACATTTTTTACTGTAACTTATCGTTTTAAATTTATCAGTTAGTGTAAGAATTTTTAAGCTTGTTGGATCACTGTAAAAATAATCAAATTTATGTTGACGATGTAATGCAGCGAACGGAAAAGGTTTTGGACTGGTTAGATCGTGCAAAGGTAACTCATTTGAAACTTCTGAATTTCTGTTGAATATTGTTGGCAATAGTTTGGAATAGTTTACACAAAAATATTGGTGTATCAGATAAAGTGTGTTGGATACTTAGAGGCACTGCGGTAGAAACTCCTAGTAAATTAGTACTTAATTCGCAATTTTTGGATATTTTTGCAAAACATTTTTTACATCGTAAGAGTTTCAGCAGCATACTATTGCAAATCAGGAAAGTTACCCTGATGACAAATCACTAATTGGGCGGCTTGATGTGTGTCGTGGTTTGCTGGGATTTCTTACAAAGGATGAGAAAACTGCAATTGGTTCGGAAGCTAATGGTACTCAGCTTATTAAGGTAATTGCTTGAAGGATCTAAATCAGTATTTCATGTGGTTCATAGGTTAAGAACTTTCTCTATGTTAAAAGTTGCGATTGGTTCGAATGTTGAAAGATTTTATGATTTCTTAAAATTCTTCTAAAGTGATTATTTTAATTTTATATGTAATTTTCTATGGTCCATTTGTTATATTCATTTTTTTGTTCTGATTTGCAGCAGTTGCTAGACGAGTTTATTTTGCCATCTTCTCGAACATATGTTGATTTGATACGGCAAAAAGAAAGCGATAGCGATATTCACATACAGCGTTCAATGACACATTCAGCAATTTCGAGAGGTGGTAAATTGTTTGGTGCGCTAAAATGATATTAGCGAATAATTCAGCTAATTTATACATGAAAGATGGTAACGATGTATGTTTTACGGTTAAGAATATGGCAGTGTCTCTAATGCCTCTACGAATTAGCGAAGTCTACAGGAATATTAACAGTCAATTCGATACTTTTCAGGTATAGATGAGTCAGATAAGACCATGCCACGTTCAGAAACAATGGGGCCATTGCTTTCTTCTCGTTCTATTCCAGTATGTGGTACCAGTGAAAGTGCCAAAGCTGCATACAATTTGATTGTTGCACTTTGTGACACAACACCGCTTAATTACCGATGCATAGTTGAAAGTCTTCTTGAACTTTTTTACTCAGGTTCGTAATTCTTTCTTATATGTTAGAGGTGAGGGGAAGAGATTTAGAGATATCCTTGTCTTTCGCTCGATGGTGAGAAATTTGCAAAATCAAGAGCTTTATTTTTATAGTTTTCGTTGAAGCAACATTGTTTTACGAGCTGATTGAGAACAGTGGTGTATGTCACGTGATCCATTTTCGATTTGAGTAAGTGAATTTACAGAGCCAGTTCCTACTATGAATATTGAATGGGAATATATGCCTGGATATTCCGTTCGTTCACCGAACAGTTACGTAGGACTAAAGAATGGTGGAGCTACTTGTTACATGAATTCTGTATTTCAGCAGGTACGTTCCTTCTTACTTTGATTTCTAACAGGTGACCAAATTTTGGCTTATTCAGGTAATTCCAGTGTAGTAAATCTAATTCAAAAGTAATATAATGTGGCTACTAAAATTATTAATAACCCAGCATACTATGTTTCCTAATCCTATCAAAACTATTATTAAAACAGCCAAAAAAAAAAAGGCTAATGCCTGTCTATATGAAAAGTTGTTAAGAATTTAGACTGCTTGTTCTTAACACTTCATTGCATTACTAAGTAAAACTTGAGTTTTTAGAATCATGTCAAGCTATTAGGAACATCTTTGAATGGTTGTGCCATTGTTTTATGATCGATCTGCCCAGTTAAGCATACTGTGAAACAAAATCTTTTTGTAGATATTCATGATTGAACCGCTGCGGAACGCCGTTATCAATGCCAACTTTACGGATGATATAAGCGTCGAAGAAATGGTTCTAAATGTAAGCTCATTTTCATTGCAAGAAATTTGTCCCTGTTAATAATCAGTCTTTCAATTCAGTATTTTTTTTTTATTTTCAGGAGTATAATGTTTCGGAGGAACACTACCATGCAATAATTTTGAAAGCTGTACAATCAATTTTTGCACATCTTCTTGGCTCTGAGATGCAATTCTATTCACCAAAGTTTTTCTGGAAACATTTTCGGTTAGTCAGAAAACCGTTTATGTTTTCAAGGACTTTCAGGATTTACTTGAATTAGAAAAACGACGTATTTTAGGTTCTGTGGTCAAGCAGTAAATGTGCGAGAACAGCAGGATGCTTTGGAATTTTACAACGCTCTCTTTGATTCTATAGATGAAGGACTTAAAAAGCTGGGTGAACCACCTATTTGTGAGAATTTATTTGGTGGAACATTTGCTGATCAGAAGATTTGCAAAGACTGTCCACATAGGTATTATAGCTTGTTCATTTTTTAAATTAGATTTGAAAAGAATATTGATACAGCAACCACTATTTGTGCATTATACATTCATAATCATCCTTCTTATATTCTAGTTCCATAAAAAATGTAGATCGAAGTTCGAGCTTTAGTGTTTTTTTTTTTATCTTGCCAATCGAACAGCATTAATGTCTGACGTTTAATGAAAAAAAAAAAAAAAAAAACCATTCAATTTTTTCCTCCTTATTTTTTTATTTTTGTCTGAATTTATTTCATGGTGAAAACATTCAGATATCAACGCGAAGAACCATTTACATCAATTTCGGTTGATGTCCGGTCTCATAACAACCTTCTTGATTCCCTTAAAGAATATGTGAAAGGGGATTTGTTGAACAACGACAACGCATATTTGTGTGAAGAATGCAATAAGAAGGTAAGTTTTTGGCGCCATTTCAAATAGAATTTCAAATGTAGCTCATAACTTCGAATTTTAAATAGTGAAAAATGAAGAAAGATTACCAAACAAAAAATAAATGTGTTTTATAGGTGACAGCAGTGAAACGCTTATGTGTTGCCAGATTACCTCCATATTTGACGATACAGCTAAAAAGATTTGATTTTGATTGGGAACGTGATTCACCACAAAAATACAACGATTATTTCGAATTTCCGATTGATCTTGACATGATGCCGTTTACTGTTCATGGATTAGCTCAAGCAGAAGGTATTTTTTTATCTTTCTATGTATGATATAGCAAATAGCTAGATTCGTTATATTTTTGGTCAAAACGGAACTTCGTTCTGTTCATATTAATTCGGCATGGCAGACGAATTTAGGAGACGTTTTCGTTGTTTAACTCAGTGATTGTTACTTATTCTTCGCAGTCGGTTATCATTGTTCTTAATTTTCATTTACAATCTCCAAATGACATTCCTACTGATTCAATTAGTTTATTTGCAGGAGAAGTTTCGAAAGAAGAATTGACACACTCCTCGGTAACCGATAGCGGTCGAGGTGTTTTTTATATATATATATATATATTCATAGCTACACTTAACCAACAGTTACACTTATTTCTTTCGTTTGATATTGGGATTTACTTTTATTTAATTGCAGGCACATCTGAAAGAGCATCACCGGAAGCAAACGATATTTATGGTGTTGCTGGCACGTCGACATCAGAAGTTAAACTGGTTGATAATGAGTTCGTCGTTTCTATTTTTGCAATGTTTAGTAAATAATTTTGGATATCAATTATGCTAAATTCAATAAAGGTGATTTAGTACGAAATATTGTTTACGTGGAGTGATTGTACATTCGGGACAAGCTAATGGTGGCCATTATTATTCATTCATTCGTTCCGAAGAAGACAGTGGTCGTTGGTTCAAATTCGATGATGTTGACGTAACTGAATGGCATTTAAACAAAGAGGTAAACTTTGATGTAATAGGAGAAGGCTTTCATTATTTCAGTTAAAAATTAATGTGTATCTGGAAATTGTTATGTCATTTATTCAATGCTTTATTTTTTTGTCATTTGTTTACTGGATATTTAGATTATCATATCTTTAAGTCCTTAAATTAACGGTCACGTAGATGCCATTTGTTGCATCTTTTACAAAAATCTCCAGCTCTTTAAGGATAAGCAAATCTTATGAGTCGATAGAAGATCAAATATTTGATTGAAAATTTAAAAACTGCGAATGATAATATTTGTTCAGTGTTTGGTTTTTTACGATGTGACCTCAAGTTTTTTGTATGCATGGAAAATTGGTCTTTTTGAATTTTTACATTTTGAGGAAATGCAAAGTATGTGGTTTGGTGGTGAATACATTACGGAAACGTTCGAGAATAGCAGCAGCCATTATCAAAAAAAGCGACAGAAGCGCTGGTGGAACGCTTATTTGCTCATTTACGAAAAGGTTTTCATCAAATTTTTATTATATATTTTTGTAAAAGTGTGGCATATTCCTGCATACGAATTCATTCCCGTCCAATTAAAATCTTGATATTTTGCCAATATTAATTTACGCTGGTTTCAGTGAAATTAGCTTTCTTTTGGTATGTATAATAATTATACCTTTGTCAGCTGACAAATTACTTGAACAGCTCATTAAACATGGTCCGATATGTCTAACTTATCTTCTTACCACTGGCTGAGCCCTTTCGTACTTCTTCGTGCTCCGAGTTGTGCATCATGCTGTGCTTTAATGCTAGGATCATCTTTAGGGTGCTCATCCTCAAAACTTATTTCAATCAGTCGTTTTATAGATATCAGCTACTGGTGCTTCCGTGGTATCATCATCAGTGGAACTAACAACTTCTTGCTCTTCCACACAGCCATCACATTCGTCTTCCAACAGTCCGCTCAGTTTGGATAAAAAAATAGGTGCCATGTCTATTAGTAAGTTCCCTTTTTTTCATGATTTCATCTAATTTATATAAAATGAGATATTAACTTAAGGTTGGAACCATTCGCTGAATCAGGATCAACAAGTTTTGCTATTGGCTGGAATCGTTAGGCAGTTATTGAACGTCTTTTATTAATCCTATATCTCTTTACTACTACCTTTAATATGCTTGCAAATGAATGATTGGAGAAGGCATACATATTTCAGGTACTCGTATTCGACAGATGCCTCCGAAACTGGAAGCTCTGGTTCGAGGCAAAAACACTTGCGCTATGCATGAACGATCGCAGTAAGTTGAAATGTCTTAATGGGTTGAATTTTAAATATTCGTGCAGTGGAGTGCTAATTTTTCACAGTTAGTAACTCCTGATGTATCTGAAATTATTTAATAATCAGCTAACAATGAATTGAATTCTATGTTATATTCTAATATGCTTGATAATATTGTAAGCACTTTTTACATATCAATAAATACAATATAAATATTCGGGATATCGTTTGAATGTTTGAAAGTCTATTAGGGATTCGAAATTACATAGATTCAAATCTGGAAATATTATTGGTCCACTAGTCATGGTAAACTGGCGAACTAAGATTGTCCTGTAGAAATATTTATATGATTTTGAGGATAAATTGTCTTCGAGTTGAAAATTTTGTCTACAATGGCTAATATGATGTTTCATACATCTTTTATTTATATAAGATGCTAGAATTGGAACTTTGAGATTAAACCGTTGACTTTCGTTATAACAAATTTTCAGGTACACTTCGAATTACTTTCAATTCATTCGGGATATATGCTCACGAGCGGTTCGAATGATCACTCGGATGAATCTCGAACTTCAAGAGTAAGGCTTTATGAATTAGTATTTTTCCGATGAATCTTTTCATGTGTTCCAAATCCGAATTTTCGATTGATATGTTGCACGGAATAGTTGCTATGCACAGAAATAAGTTCTTAAATCATTCATTATTTTGCAGCGATTATTATTTATTAACGACCAAACTGCTAAGCAAGTTTCTATTTTCTACTGGTTTACGAGCAAAGAAAACGTTGCGGTAAGTGGTTTTAACCAAACAGTGCAGAAGTGTTAGATATTTTATCTACTCATACGTTTTGTCTATGCTCACTACGTTTTCTCATCCTTTGAATGTAAATTTGGCAAAAATTTGTGTGCTGAATATTGCTTCTAGTTCTTTTACTTTTCGAGGGAAATAAACAGGTATATTGCAGTTCGGGCAATGTAACAGAATGGCAGAAAACTTACGAAATATTGTTTACATCATCAAAACCTTCTCGTGGATGGTTTATCTGTAATATTATATTTCAGTCGAAAATGGTTGTTTTATATCTTCTTACCGCGCCTTCGACCGATGTAAGCAGGCCGAATTTTTGAGGATTGGTAGTTTGAAAATTTAAGAAAACAAATAAATGTATGTTTATGGTATGATAGGTAATAAGGGAGTAGATTTTTTTCAGTGCGAACCCTAGAAAATTTAATTTAGATGACATAGTAGGTGTCGCATTCATTGTCAGTCACAGACTTAGCCAGTTTAAGCGAGTAGCCAACTTAAGTAGCTTTGATTCTTGGAAGTATATAATTAGAGATTGGTTTTGCAAGCTGGGAACATTGTTTTTACATTCTAGAATTTCATGATTCCATGATGAATTTCATGATTACTTTCAGGTGCGATATTTTTTCACAAATATATTTGTAACACTTTTGAATGCAACTGCACACGATTATTTTGATGTTATTCGACCGTATATGCGTAAGTTTAGCGCTGGGTAGTGATTCCTATTGGAATGAAAATATTCTGAACTATTAATATTTCGGACTTTTGTCACCTTTATATTGTTTGCCAATTCGACAAAAATTATCATGAAATATTTTGTATTATTGTTCAGGTGGCAGTTTCGGAGACATAAATTTTAACAGTACTAACGTTTCAGTTGCAGGAGATTGCCCTGATTTCAAAATTGATGCTGTTTATAAGGCGGGTGATACGTTATCTGATATGTTTATCACTTTGTTACTTATCATCCCTCGCAATTATTTCACCGAATTTAGCACTTACCCTACCCAGTATATAACTTTGTTCAATCTTTATGCTCTCTCAGGTTTGGAGCAGGTATCTATGTGTTTTTATATTTTCCATCCCTATGCGCCCAGTTTTTTTTTTAAAAAAATTTATGATATGAAAGTGCATCCTGATCAACTGAATAGCCGTCAGCAATTTCATGTCTAAATTTAATCCAGCAGCCTTTTATAAAGTTCCAGTGAGTAATTTCATTGCTTACTTTAAGGAGAGAGTTTTTCAGAAAAGGCAATTAGTACGAAAAGGTGCCTTGCATGCGTTGTTGATGCTCATTTCACGGGAGGATTATCATATCAAAGTGATTTACCAAGATAGTTCAAAATTGTATGAAGTTATTTCATTACTTCTCAGGACTTGCAAATTTGAATGGCAAGGAGAGGTGAGGACAAATTAGAACATAAAGCTAATTTATGTTTTAGCGAGTCTTTTCTATTCCTTTCTAAAATTACAGAACATACGTTTTCAAATAAACTTTAATGTAAAAATAATGTTTTTGCTTCTTTTGGAGAATGCCGATTTGAATCCATATGCTATTACAATCGGTGGGCTTGTTCAAGCACCTCAGGAAGTTGCTGAGTGGATGGCTGAATCACTTTTTGTTAATAGGTACTTTGTTTTACATAGATTTTCCAATCTGCTTAATTAAAGCAATAGGTAATAATTTCTTATATGTAATATTTCGAATATATTTATGGATGGGTAATAATGTTAGCTAATGAAGTTTTGTTTTAATTCGTGATGTGATGCGGGGCTAAAACATGTGGCAAACTTTAGATTATTGAAGCAGCTGATCGAATTACCTACCGACCGCGCAGTTGCACTAGATATGATATTGTATTTGTGCTGGGAAAATCTTCAATTTACGAAAATTCTTCTCTATCACTTTTCGTTTGAGGTATTTAATTAGTGCTACTTCAATTAGTAGTAACTAGTATCTTTTGTTATTACAAGGATATCAAAAGAAGCAGGAGTCCTTACTTTTTATCGCCAAAGGTTCTCTCAAGATTCTATTGTTTTGGCATAGTTTAAAGCATAAATTTCGTTTTGTACTTTCTAAAAAATGGTTGGGACGTTGCAGAAGGATGATTTTCTTTCTGTCTCCGGTGTTTAATGATGTCATTAAACATTTGGGAATGGTTTTTTTTTTCTTACTTGGCCAAGTGAGGAGCTTACTTGAACCAAGGAAAAGAACATGTTAAACGCAGATAGAGTAATGAAAATAAAAGAGCCATTATGAATAAAGCAATGCGTTGCAGTTAGGTGCTTAATTATATATATTTCTGACTGTTTTGTATAGAACGAATTTTTACACTTAATTTTATTAGACCTTATAGAATAGAAGAAATAAAATTATGAAATAATTCCAATTTTTAATTTTATCCGTAAATTGTATCCTTACTTGATTTATATCCTCTCTATCACTCCGTTTTAAGTGTCTGTTTACACCGAATGAAGTGAAAAACGCGACAGCGATCATTGAAAACATTTTTGAAATCAATGATTCGGTACAAAGGGAGCGTCAGCGTCTGATACTTTTAGGTTTTGGTAAGTTACAATGTCTCATTTTATGCTTTTTACAGCAACACAATTGTTTTTATCTGCTAAATTGACTTTAAATAAATTTTTGAGAAATCAAGCAACTAATAACTATTATCAAAAGGTTTCTTAAATCTCTATCTTTTTACTCAATTGTTGATAATATTCGTGCTGATCATATAATAAAATTTTTGTTCTTTCGATTTTTTTGTGCATGTTTCATTTCTGTGATGTTTTTTTTTCTTTTTTTTTTTGTGTTGCATTTAGGTTAATGGAAAAATTCTTGATTAGGAAGCATTATTAAAGAAAGGAACATGTTTATGAATTTAAACCTTTATTAAAAGAAAACTTCTAGATGATAATTTAGGAATGGAAAAAAGATTTTTGGTTAGATGTTTTGTTCAAATTTAATTTCAAATTTGGTCTCATTTCAGCTTGAGATTTGATTAAGCAGTGGTCTGATTTGATTGCATAAATTTCAGTAATTATTCAACCTCTTCAGACAATGGACCTCAGAAGTACAAAGGCTTTATTGCAATAATGTTCGGTCAGAGAGATATCTACTCATGGAAAGCATATCATTTATTGCGAACGTTAATCGATATTGCTTTTGATAATGAAGAGATTATTAAGGTTCGTTTTTAGATGCCATAATGACAGTTCATTATTGTATTACCTAAATTTTGATAAACTTATCTTTTGGTTTACAGTTTCATTACCAGAGCAGATTGTCATAGAATTTGACGACATATGTAGAAGCATTTAATTTGAACTTCAGTATTGTAAGCCTTATGAGTGTAAAAGAGAAAAGTTTTTTATTCCTTTTACAGCTTCATTTAACACATGATTAAGGTTCTTGCGGAAAATGAACAAGCTCGTAACAGTTTGTACAGATTGAAGGATTGGTTTAAATTGCAACTTACTGCCGAGGTAAGTCACAAACTTTATCTATAAAGCTTTCCTCTAAAATTGAAGTTCAGGAATATTTATGCCAACAGTGGTAATGAGGTAGAAATACCAAATTTAATTTGGTGTCTAGTTCATTTGTTACATAAAATACCTACTTTCAGTAACGGATACGACATAATATGAGTTTCGCTATTTTGAAGAACTTGTGACTTTCATTGATATTAATTCATAATTCCAAAAACAGACATTATTGATCCGTTGCGGCATTTTTTTTTCAGTACTAGAAGAACCTATGAAAGATCAAATTTTGTTGAAAAGTTTGACAAATTGTCTTTGCTCATTTAAGTTATTTTCAGTCGGCTAAATCGGATATTTATGATTATGACTGTCGTCGTGATGATTTGGATAAATCAACTGAGACTGAAGGAATGGATAGTTTTATTGAAGTCTATGAAAAATTTGATGATTTCCTTTCGAAACTGAATGTTCCATCGTCAATTGTTTTGAGTGGCAGTAGTTCTTCGAGCGATGGTGATAATTTCATTGTGGACACTTTTTTCGGAGTAAGTATAATTTATTGAGAAAAAAAGACCCGAATATTCAGGCATTATTTTCTTTTTTACAAAAATTAGCAGTGCATTATAGCTCTGGTAGATTAACGACGTATGCTTATTTATAAGATTCAGATTTATCTGAACTTACAATCGATGTATAGTTTGAAACAAGAAATCTTCAGGATATGCAGAGGAACGTCCCGAGAATTTCGAGTGATAGACGCCGATTTTCCGAAGAACATCCGCGATCAGCGGAGCATGCTTCAGCACACTGTGGTAGGGCTGAAGTATCCTCAGTAATTGATTCACCTAAAAGTATTACCTCGCCGATGAAATCCAGGCTATCCTTGAAAACAGGTTTATTTAAAAGTTATGTCAAATACTAATTCGTTTAGGAATGGAGTATCTATAACTGAGGTGCTCTGAAGAAATGTGAATACATTTGACATAAGTAAAACGTGCAGTTTTTGTCATTTTCAAAAAAAAAAAAAAATTTGAAGGAACTTCTGATGAAGCTTTAACTCTGGGCACATCCATGTCACTCAGCGAGAGGCTTTTAGCTAATGTCGGTCTACCACCTCCACCGCCTTATTCAGAACATGATTCAACTGATGTAATTTCACAACAGTAAGTCTTTTTTTTTTCTTTTAAATTTATCTATTTATCAGTTTTTTTTTAGGAAATGTAGGATTTCTTTCGTGAAAATGTAGTTATCTAGTATCGAAAGATTGATGGTGATAGTTATTTACCGCTGGAATTCTGACAATATTTTGCAGATATCCACGTGTTCAACAATCAGTGTCGTCTCTGGGTACACCACATTCCTGGCAAATTTCACTAACCAGTGAGATAAATCGTCCCGAAGATGATTCATCAATTGAATCCACGTCGACGGGTGTTGAAATGGAAGATGTACCACCACCATATGAATAAGTGTCAGTTAAGTAGGAACGGTATAAAATTTACTTACTTCAGTAGATTTGGTTATTGCATGAGAGGTTTCATTTATCCTATGAACAAAATATCTTTTATGTCTTGCTGTTATCTTTTTTCATTGGATTGAGTCGAGTAGGACTAATTATATTTGAGAGAATTTTAATTGTTTTCTTATGATTCGAAATCTCTTTTTTTGTTTTTTTGTTTTTGTTTTTTTTTTTTTTTTTTTTTTTTTCATTGCAACCTTTTAGCTAATTCACTGAGGTGTAATCTAAGCATATTTCTTTCTTCAGTTTCTGAACAAAAAAAAAAAAAAAAAAAAAAAAAAACCATATATGAAACATGTGTGCAAAGTTAGTATTAGCTGTGTACAGTCGGTTAATGAGAGCAAGCATTCCTGAGATTTTCGAGGTATTTGTGGTTCATCTTTTACAAATGAATTTGTTGTTGCTCCAATTTTATGCTTTTTTTTTTCTTTTCTTTGTTTTCTTGGTTAATTTCATCATTGTTTGTCCTTAGATTTCTTTGCGCAAAATTTTTTACCTTATGATCATAATCTTTTTTGCATAAATTTATCCATTTATGTTATCTTCACTTTTTTACTCCTTTCATTCTCTCCAGGACTTTATTTTATCAAATTTTAATCTTTGCGTGTTTTTCGTCTGAATTATTTTATTTGCTACGGTAAAAGTTACCACAAATTTTAATTTTTAGGAATTGACAGGTAATTAATGGTCTTTTTTGTATTAATAGTATTAGTTTACTAATGCTGTTATACTACGTTTGCTACTTCTGCTACTACCATCATTGTTGTTGGTGGTCCTTGTAATATTACTATTTCTTTTCCTGCTTCTTGTTACTTCTTTCTTAGCTTATGTAATTTTTATTGAATGTCCACAACTACTTTGAATATAATGATGGTCATGATGATAATTCCGCAAACTTTCAGCAGTTGAGACTATTTTGTTACTGTTTAGTGTAAGTTCCCGTAGTACAACATTAAATGTAGCCGTAAGTGTATACAGTTTAAAAAAATATTCCTGTGAATTCGGTTCCTGTCAGTGCAAAGCTGTGGTGCGATTTTTTTTTTTTTTATTGTGGGCTTAATGAGGTTTAAAAACTCATCAAATTAACAATAAAACAGTAGAGAAGATATTACATTGAAACGAAAGTGACCCGCTATTTTCTTAAGGAAAAAAACAAACGAACTTTATTCTGGTATGTTAGCTACCCATAGATTTTATCAGTACTGTTAGTTCATCTTTCAAGTGTAATTATAAATTTATTAATGAAGTTTTGGATTTTTATGTTGCTATAATTTCAGACCATGAAAACGGGAAAATTCGATTTTTTCCTTTCTGTGAAAAGTTGCATTTCTTTCCTTTTTTTGAATTATGCAAACCGTTCTCATTTGCCATTTCATCTTCATTATCTTATGTACTATTATTCGTTGTTTCTTTTTTGTTTTGAAGTTTGAAATTGCGAAATGAAAAGCTTTCTTCTCCTCGTCCTATGTATGTGTATAAATGAAATGTATTTTATAAACGGAAATATTTCCATAGGCACATACGATTTATAACGATTGAGGAGTATGAGATTTTGAAGGCTTCACTTCTTTCTATTACTGGTATATTGGATTGTGAGCAGTTTGTTCTGTTGCGCAACGCATAGAGTTCATCTGTCGAATTGTATGGATTTATCATTTGGTATTTTATAAATTTCTTTTAGTTAACGAAGTTTTAATTAACGAAACAGGAGGTTATAGGAGCGTGCATTTCTGATCGGGGGTCACGTGGGGTTTTTTTTTTTTACTTTTAATTCATTATTTCCTCTCGTAAAAATATTAATTCATTTTCCAACCTGGAAATGGTGAATATTTGAAAGTGGTTTTCAAAATACTTGCGAGATTTTCAGAACGGTTACGAGACAACAAGCGTTTTTAAGGGAAAAAGGTAATGTGAGATAAGGATGAAAAAACTGATTGCACAACTATGGGAAACTATAGGTGGTTTTCATTTTTCAGTTTTTACCGTTTATTGAAATCAATTTATTCAGACTTGATAAAGTAATCAAGTGATTAAGTTAAATTAATTATATGGTCAGTAAATGCGTGAGATTAATAAAAATTGAAATTAATGAAAAAAAAAAAGGACAGATTTGAGAGAATTATGGATCGGTGTAATAAATTTGAGAAGGTGGCATTTATTGCTTTGTTTAAAGAAGTTAGAAATATTCTTTACTTTAACAAATAACAAATAGTATAGATTTATTTATTTGGAACACTGATCGAGAGAACCCGAAAAACGGATGATTCATCACATAGAATATATAATACAGAAAGGTTAGAATAAACCCTCATCGCCTTAACAATTATCATTGATGATATTTTTGAGAATATCGGGAGTTAGATCGGGACATTCGTCGAATCCATCATCTTTCCTCCCTCCTTTTTCATCAATACCGACAGTACTATTACCTCCCTCTCTTCCTTCTCCTCCTCCTTTTCCATTTGTAGTACCAGCATCTTTTTCCTTTTCTGGTGACTGTTCTGGTTCTATACTCTCCTTCGAAATACTTTTCTAAAGTTACAGAAGTAGGATTTAAAATGAACGTTTGAATTCAAAGATTTCAAATAAGATGAGGATCGAATTATTGATTAGTTTAAGATTTGTGGCATAAATAGATTGGAAATGATGTGAATTCAAGTAGTAATTAATGAATAATAGGAAAAGCATAAATTAAATAGGTTCAGTGAATGAATTAGCAATGGGAAATATATGATGGAATAATAAGTAGTCTATCATTCTATACACAATGTTAATTGATTTTAATTTCAAAATTTTTTACTTTGCCTTAGATGAAAAAACCATAGCAAAAAAAAAAAAAAAAAAAAAAAAAAAAAAGAAAAAGGAAAACAATTCAAACATGTTGCAACAATAGCAAAATTTGGTTTCACGAATAACAGGAAATTTATTTATTCATTGAATTTTCTGTTTCAGTTATTTGATTTCAGTCAGTTTCTTAATTACCTGTATATATTTTATATTGATTCATTAATTTTTACGTATTTGACAACTTTTGATTCTATTTCTATTCCTTATACTACTATTGTTCCTGATTTCACTTCTATCCATTACTGATTCTTATTTTGAAATATTGTATTCCATAACTACAATGTAAAGTTGCATACCACTAATAACACAAATATCCCAATTTCAATATCTGTTAAATTCTTTTTTTTCAATTATAAATTTGACAAAAGTTTTTGATCATCTTTTTCCTTTTTTCCTATAAAAGAAAAAAGAACTGCAAATTATTCAAAATACAAAACAATAACATTAGAGATTAACGATTACCTTATTATCAGCTCTTAACTCGGCGGATGGTGAACATTCAATTGGAATCGTAGCGATAGGTGTTTGTGTTTCTTGATTTGATGTAGCTAATGAGTGTTTCGCATAAATTGGTGCTACTGGTGGTAGTTGTGGTGCTTCTGGTTGTGGTGGTGGTTGCAGTGATTGTGGTTGTGGTCGTGGTGATTCTTGAAGCACTGGTAATGCAGAGCTACGCATCGAATTTGTTATTTTATACATTTGCTTCTTTTGACTAGCACATTCCATTTGCAAGATAATTAAAGGCGCAAAAAATAGCATCACTAAATAAAATTAATGAAATATTTTTGGCACTGTAAAATTTTTGAATACAGAAAAAAAATTTACAGATCAAACTTTTTATTGTAATTAAAAAAATGTTTTCTTCCTTCTTGTATTGGATAATGTATCAGAGAGTTTTTTCCGTAATAATAATGAAATATTATTTGATTATGAATTTAAAAAAAAAAAAAAAAAAAACAGTAATTGGCAAAAATATTAGTATAATTTATTAATTACTAATTAGTCAACCATTTATGAAAACGTAAGCGTAAGCGAGATTTAAAGGAAAAAGAACAATTATTTTGATTAATGTCTTAGCATGAAAAAAAAGTCTTACAAACATGATAAAAATGGCATACTTGATAAAATGGAAATGGTTAGATAATAAATGATAATGTTTGATAAATAAAATACCATATTTTGCAATATGTATTAATCGAATTATTTTCCCTGTTCGAGTATTTTATTATTATATTTTATTAGTATTATGACGAATGTCTAATTTTCAGAAATTTGCATAAATTACGAAAAATTTTTCTACTTTTCCTTTTTTTTTTCAGCAATTAATAATTTATTTTACACATTTAACCATTAAATTTTAACTTCAAAGATTAAGATTTTTTCTCACCCTGATTTTGATTTTATTATCAGTTGATTGCACTAAAGTTAATTGTTATATATGATGAAATGATAAGACGGTCGGACTGATTACAATCGTATAGTATTAATTACAAATATATTTGTTTTTTCAAAGTATGCTATGATGAAAAATATTACGGTCTATTTCAAATTATTAGATTCTAAATAACAAAATCTGCTGCAGTAGTAAAAGCTATATATTACTATTATTGTATTTAACTGTTTCTAATTATTGTGGAGTAATTATAATTTCGCGAACTATCAATAATAAAATACAAATGCATTTTTTAATAATTTGAAGATATTACTGGATTTTTTTTTCTAGAATACAAATAGTAGTAAAAAAAAAAAAAAAAATGAAAAAAAATATTTGCCGATCTTTTAGCTTTAAACTTGTTTTTTTTTTTATTAAAAGAGTTTCACATGTCAATTAAAGATTAAATGTAGTAACAAATATACAGGATTAGTTCTTTTTATTTCTTATTAATATTATACATATTTTTTAATTTTAATTATTATCATTATCACAACTGACATAAGATTTAACTAGTACTACTGTAATATAAAAACTTTCACAGTTTAAATAAATTATTTCACATTATAATTATTGACTTAAATAGATTAGAAAAGGAAGAATTACTCTCCCTCCCTTTTTTTCCCCTCTCTCTCTACATGCATATATATATATATATATATATATATATATATATATATATATATATATATATATATATACATATAGATGAAAACTAAATTAGTATTTCTTGTCTCATTAAAAAATATTATTACTAAGCGGTAAACTTTATGTAATAGCAATCTTAAAGTAAGATTGTTTAAAGTAACTATGTCTGATGTACTGGGTTGAAACTATCTCTTAAATAATGAACACTAACTAACGTCCTGAAATTTGATTTCATAGTCCTCAATACACGTAGGATTTAGGTGAGAAGTCGATCAACCAATAAAAACTCAATATTTTATTATCACAGATGAGTAAACAATCTTTACATCATTTTAACGTCAGATGTTTAAATTTTGCAGGAATTCGAAAAAAAAAAAAAAAAAAAAGAGTTTTCACTATCAATATTGTTTGCCAAAAAAAAAAAGTTGAATAAATAAATCAACCGCCTACCGTTTTTGCAACCTAAAATAATACATGCAATTTTTTTTTTTTGAAAATTTTTCATATCATTTCCGAAATGTTTCTGTTTTAAATTTTTGTCAATTTACAAATAATGTAATGTGATAAAATGAAAATTGAATATTTTTAACTTTTTATCATAGTATGTCGTACTGGAAATTTGATCATATTATGATGAAATTTATAGCTGTTAAGAATGTTCGTTACTCATTTCTAAAACATCCAATCTTTCCAATATCATGGCTCGTTCCAAGCTTTGAATTACAAAATGATACGTTCAATAACAACAAAAAAAGAAGTATTAAATCAAATTCAATAGAATGCAAAATTTTACAATTTCATCACTAAATGATAATTGTATCTGATTGCAATGAATTTTGAAACTTTATTGAGTTAAACGAGTGATCAAAAGTTAAATGTCTGATAATAATATCAACAACCCAGTTTAGTTTAGTATGAAAATGGTTGTTTGGCTTCTTCTTCGGTATTTTATCAGATTATATTAGAATTTTCGATCTTTCGCCCCGATGTCTGAATTTTCAATCTTATACTTCTGTATCCGACGAATTACTATTGAAATTATTAGAAATCTCAGAATTAAGGTGCATTCTTTTCCAAAAATATCGTTCCATAATTTAATTCTTTCGAAATAAAATCATGAAGATGAAAATTGCAAGATAAAAGCAATATTGCAATTCTTATTTTGAAGTGAAACTCAAAAGTATATGATTTTGTATTTTGCACTACTCTGAATAAAAGGAACCTTAAACAAAATTAAAGAAATGAAAAAAAGCCGCAGTCCTGGAATTAAACTTACTATAGACACAATTTTAATATATTAACATTCATGTAAAAGAGGTAAAACATTAAACTGAAGACATCCAAAAAAAAAAAAATGGAGTTATAAAATTTTATTATTCATTAACGGTTAACTCAATCTTAAAATTATGATCAGGATTTCTAAATTGAAACAGTCTTTTTTTCTTTCCTTTCGAATTAAAAAACTGCCTGAAATTTGAGATAAATGTTAACAAAAAGCATTATATCAAATTTAAAAAAAAAAAAAAAAAAAAAGAAAATACGATGAAATTATTCGCTTTAATTGTTGTAATAATTAATTCACTAAAAAGTTGAAGTGATTGTCCAAAATTCTCATCCATAATTTCAGTTTAATCCAACATTTTGGCAAACTTTTTTCTTGTAATTATTTTTCTAATCAAAAAATTTGAAACGATTGAAGTTTTATTAAATAAAAGAAAAATTTGATTAAATGCTTCAAGAAATTTGGTTCATCAAATATTATATAAAACAGAATAAAACGTCATATTTACTTGTTTTACATCAAAGTTTCATTTCATTTCAATAAAGTAATTTATATGGCATAATTTAATTGCAATATGCATTATGTGATATCTCATTTATATGACATAAAGTAATACTATTATACTTTATATAATCTATGTGAAATAATCTCTACCAAACGATCATTTAATTACAGCCTAGCATACAAATAACACTCACTTATAAGGCCTACCACAAATCCTAGGCTAGACCTATCACCAGACCTCCGATCCCCTATCAGTCATTCAACTTCATTTACAGTTTCATAAAACAAAGGGATGAAGATATTTCGCGCATCGTTTGTTCGAACTTTACATGGACATTCTCCAAAAAGCGGTCGCTAATTCGAGCTAATATTGTTTCGGGGTGTCTCGGTGGGTGTTCTTGATTCGGTGAGTTAACTGTTGTTTTAAGCTATGGACATTGTTGTTTCTCTGGGATATATCGATAGACTAAGGGTATGAAATTGAACATGGAAATACTATGTATAATAAGCAATTAGTGCTAATATCGTTATTTTGACATTTTCCAAGTTGTTTACTTTTTCTCAGTTATACTATCTACTCGGAATGTAGTATTTTTGAATTCACATAATAACAGAACAAATTGTTAAATATAGAGTAAGTGTTTTTATATTTAGCTATGTATGTTTTATCGATAGACAGCATTGCTGTATATCGTTTACGTTATAAAACCGTATCATACGTTAATGGTACATAATTTTAACTACTGTATTATTTTTGGTAAACTTCTGGCTTTACATAAGTCCTCATCTATGAAATTGACCGGATTTTGGATTGATCTTTTATTACTTGAATTCAATTTTATACTTCGTCATACTTTTACGTTCCCGAATTCTATTTTATACCTTGTTAGCATTTATGTTCGATGTTATTTCTTCGTTTGTTATAGCAGTTGTTCTAGATCATCTCAAGCTTCTACTGATATAATTCGGCTCAATATTCGCCAAGCCTATTCACTTTTTTTCTGTAAAATCTTTATTTTTGTCAGCTTATGTACTTTCACAATTTCTTCATATTACTGAACAAAGTTGCTTGACGTAATCTTTAAGTTATATTTTATTGGAGATAACATTATATATTTTTGATACATGTAATAAGATGTCGATCGATTCCTTTTTTTATTCAATTTTTCTTTCTTTTTTGTTGAATTAAATGATTTCAGTTAGAAGGATTTATAAAAGTTCATGCATGAGGTTAAAAGGTAAAGTAAAATTAAGACACGGAACTTTATTCGAGTGTGAAGAAGGCTGAATCTACAGTGGCACTAAGGTATAGGTTGAAAGGAGGAGTCGTATTTCACATTTCAAGAAAAGGGAAATGTTAGGTTGCATTCTGCCCATTTGGACGTTGAAATTTTTAAATTTTATTTCACATTTTTACACATTGTTAGATATTTTTAGCGCTCATGCTTTGATTCTTTTCCTCCCTTTTTCTTTTTTTTCTTGATCAAAGTTTAGCTTATTTCCTTGGTTTGGTTGTTTGTGCTTATAATTTTGAATTCTAATTATATGCAATTCATGAATTTCCACAACAATTCATAATTTTCTAGTCATGCATTGATAATGCTGATATTTTGCAAGTGTAGGAAATATTGCACATACATAATTTAATTTTGACATTTCTTTCTTCATCATTTAGCTCCACTAAACTACAGTGATAATTTATGATGCTTCATTTTGAGGATAACTCGTTTAAGCTTCATTTCATTATGAATAGACGATTTGAATGAGTTAAATTATTTTTTATGCAGACATGCGTGTCAACAAGTACGAGAACAGTAAGTTTTGTCTGATATATGCTTCAATACAACTTGTCATCTATAGGAGTAAATCATTATTTTATTTTTCTCAGTGTACAAGTGGTTCACTAGTACTAGGCTTTGAGTTGTTATTTTTTCCTTTCTTTTCTGTTCATTGTCAGCCTATTCGTCTATTCATTTCTTAAAGTGTTAGCCCAGCACTGCATCATGTTTCTTTGGGAAGGTAATCGTTTTAGGTCATGTGACCTTAATTTTTTAAGGCAAAAAATAGATGTACTTTTTAAGATCTTCATGATTTTATTTTAACTTTCAAAACATCCATTTTTATCACTATTTTTTGTGTGACAAATATTTATATGTTGCTAAGGCAATAAAAATCATTCAGTTAGATGCGACATTTCATGTTAGATGGGCAATAAATATTGACCTTTGTGTAAAAGAAAATGAGAGTTACAAGATATTAATTTATAAAGCTCTATTTAATTCGTTTTTTTGATCATATTATTGATCATTCTATTATGAAATTTAGATAAACTAACGACATTAGCTAATCCAATTAATTCAAAAACGAAATGAATGTAAACATTTTGGACTTTAAAAGGAAAGATTTTGACAAAATAATCTCTTTTTGGTGGGATCACTATACCCGTACATATAATTGTTGTTAGCTGGAATACTGACCATGTTTGTTATTAATTGTAGTTTATTATTATTAATTATCATCAAATTTTTGTTATTACTATTGATGACACTTTTTTTATGATCTTAAATGTATTCTCACTTTTCTTCTCGCTCTCTTTTGCGTTATAATATCTTTAATGATTAATTTTAACGTTTGCAAACTTTTTTCCTTCATTCTTCTATGTGTTTTTATGCGAAGCAATAATATATGTGCGGCATATTTTGACGATGTTGAAAAACTAAGAAAGTGATGAATAATCTTTCTTTTTTCATTTTTGCTTTTTAAGAAATAAAATAATTTGGAATTTTTTTGTGGGCTCTGATTTCAAGTTTTCTTTCATTTGTTTACATATGGTTAGATTTAGGCTTTATGTGTAATTATTGGATGCTACTCATGATTTATTTTGGTTTTTATCTTCCAAATTAGTTGCTTATGGGTCTGTTTTTCGGTGATATCATGTTGATGGAAGGCTTTGTGGTTTTTCATTTGTTAGCTGTTTTTTGATTAATTATATCCAGATTCTGGATTGTTTACTATTTTTTTTAGGAAATAGTGCTAACTGAAGTATAAGTTTTAATGATTATTGGAATGAATTGTATGGATTTATTCAATATCAGGAAAAGGTATTTGTATTAACGCAGTTTATAAATTCCCTAGCAACATGAAAAAGTATGAATAAATTTCTAAGACAAAATGCTGTTCTCATCTATTTTCTCTTCCTGAAGAAAAGTAGTCTTCATGAAATGTATTTCAGTATAAATTGTTATGGATATTATGCTTTTTCTAATAAGTTTATAACGGAAGGATTAAGAGAGCTGTATTAATAAATTTGTATATAAATGTTAAATAAATTTGTTGAATATATAATAATTTGGTTATAAAATAATCGTAATGTGCTGATTACATTAAATTTTAAAAATATGTCTCAAATGTAGCATGCAAATTCATTACTGATGTAAGTTTTTTTTTTTTTTTTTTTTTTTTTTTTTTCAATTTGCGGAAAAGGAGATAAAACGATGAACGTCCTTTATTTATCAATTTGTGTTTTAATTGCATCATTGATAACAACTGTCATTTACCACTACTGTGAAGTGTATTTCAATCATTCATATTCGTCTTTTACAGTTAACGTTCCAAATTGATAATGAACATTGAAATTATACAAGTATTAGAGGAAAGTTATAACTTGAATATTATACATTCTGTGGATTTCATTTCAGCTTTCAGTTTTGTTGAATGTTTAATTTCAATTAGTAATTTTGATTTCAAGTTTTCAGATATCAGCATGGTATGGGCTAGTTATTTAATCAAAGACAAAGAAGCTGGTAAACAAAATGCTAATTTTAGGCTTTAACCCATCAGACCGCTGGATAATCCTTTGAATTTTTTCGTACGACAACCCCTTCTCTTTTGTTTTTTTGTGAGCCCATATTTCTGTTTTTTGTATCTGTTACGATAGCTTTCTTACCAATAAGATTGATATAAACAAATAGATAAAAAGTAAACATCGTTTAATTTAATATTAGTAGTTCTTTTAAAGGGGACTTTACTTTAGCTTCTTTCAAAGTATTTTTGTTGCTAAGTAATGCCAAGTTTCTTTCCATTTTTTTTTCGTTATTCTGGGAAGTAATCCTTGAAATTTTAAAATTTCATGCTAAATGTTTTTAGTGGTTCAGTTTCATTTTTTTTTTGTTTGCTTCTTATTAGTAGGGTGTAAATTTCTTTTCCTTTTTTTTTTTGAAAAAGAGGGAGGGAAGGGGGAAGATACATTGATAGGCAGGTGAATTGATGCGTGGTAGATGGGATAGATGATTGTCATTTTGCAAATGACGGCTTCATTTTTCTTTCTCTTTTTTCTTTTTAGAAAAATTTTCAAAAGTCTAATGAATCGATCATTTTATCGATTGGTTGATGTGGTATGAAGAAACAAAGATAAGACGCAAAAAATTCGTTGAAGAGATGATTAGTTGAATGTTATTGGATCATTTTCCTTGCTTTACTAATTAATTATATATTTATGTTTGACTGTTAATTTTTCTAACTTATTGATTTCTTAATTGATTTGCTCTTTTTTAATTAAATTTTAAATTTATTAAATTAAATTTTTTAAAACTAAATTTATTAAATTTAATTACTTGTGTATTCTAAGTAGTTTTGTATTTTATTTCGCTAATCTTTTAATCTTTTTTCCCATTCCCTGATAGTTATTTTCTCCAATTTATTCTATTTTCAATAAGATAACTTACGGTATTAATTATTTTGTAAAAGAATGTGAAAAGAATCGATTATCGACTAATTTGATATATTAAATATATACAATAAAGAAACCTCATCGGTTACAACCAGTCAGTCGTTTTTTCCTTTTTTTTTCCTTCCAAAAATTTTATTTAATTGTTAAAAATATGTTTTTATTTCAAAAATTGTTTCGAAAGCAATTGACGATGTGATGACAGAAAGAAAATAACATTTTTTCTATACGGCAACTTTGATTGAAAGGCAAAAAAAAGCACACCTACATACATACACCTATACACACACACACATACGTATGCACAGACATATATGCATACAAACACATGCACACATACATATAGCTGTACGCATACACATGCAGATATACATTCATACATACAAAATATATATGCATTCATTACATCTTCATAACTAAATTTACAACACGAGGAGACCGATGGTTCGTTGAAAAGTTATCACTGATTATGATTGAGTCTGATATTTTATGTTATATGATATATTGTTAAACATTTTAATTTTTAATATTTTTACTGATTAAAAATTGGTTTGATTTTTTTTTTCTGTTTGGTTTATTTCTTTTTGCCAATTTTTTTTTTGTTACCACTTAATATATATTTTCCTATATCTATTCTTTAACTTCTTGAATTCTGCCTGATTTTTTTTTTTTTTTTTCATCTGGTTCATCCAGCATTTTTTTTTTTTTTGCTTCTTTCACTCTATTTCTCTTTTCTCAAAAGTTAAACTACTGTATTTATATGTTTTGACAGCTGACATTGCAAGCTTCTTCAAAGATATCATTCGAGTTGTGGTGATAACACAAAGTTATACTGTTACCGTTACTAAATTTACGAAAATTGAGTCATTTTTGGTCATTATAATACTTTATTTATTGATGTATTTAATACAAAAATCATTCATCTATCTTCATTGTTTGAAAAAAAATGAGTGATTAATTGAAATTGACATTATTTAACCAAAGTTCAAAGTTCACCTGATAAAGTTGAACGATTGAGAGATAATTTTATATGTCGGACGATTTTTTTTTTTTCTTTTTTTTATTCTCTACCTTATATATCATCCTTCCGTTCGTTATGCAGCGTCATTTGATGATTTGTCATTTTCGATTAGTTGAGATGTTTTAGATAGTTTTCTGTTCGTTTCAGAGTTTTATTCCAGTCCAGAAAAGCAAAAAGTTGCATTGGTGTGTGGATTTGTGGGTGTTCTAAACTGCACCACATTAAAAGGAGTGGATGGTGAGATTTCCGTCCTGTTCTAGTGCTGCCACTGCTATTATTATTCTGCTTTTCTAATTCCTTACTGATTTACTCGAGCAGATCAAATTTTAAAGGCGTTTAACCTATTCGGTTGTTAATGCTAGGTTCAGATACTTTTTTTTCCTGTTTATTCTACGTCTTTTTTCTGTTCCACTCGTATCACAAATTTTACTTTCTTCTTTTCTAGTCAGTTCATCCATTCATTTGTATTTTCTTTTTTGTACTTCATCATTTTGTTCAAACCGTTTACTTTTATTTTTTTTTTTTTTACTGTCACTATAGCATTATGGCTGATGTTGCTCGGCCGGATCCAATCTCATGGCAACATCCTGTGGAATCGAATGAAGGAGATCCTTGCAGGTATGAATTTCCGGTGTTTAAAATTAGATAACTCTATGTTTTTAAGCTGTCATGAATTTTAATTTTGCCAAAAAAATTTACAATTTCAGATGCTTGTCATATTTTTAACATTACTTCTATTTAGCTATAATAAATTTTAGTATTATCGAAAATTTTATAATTTCAAATGCTTCACCATTATTAATATTTCTTCTAGTTAGCTGTAATACATTTTAGTTTAGTGTCGGAAAAAAAAATGTCATATTTTAGTACTATCGAAAAATTTTTCAATTGTAAAATGTTACTCATTATTAAAGTCTTACATTGCACTGCTTGCTTTTCGTTTTAGTATTAGGATTGAATATTTTCTTACTGCTTTATGGCATCCTACTTTGCAGCTCGAATGATACATCAGTACCGGAAGAACTTGCTCTTCTTGCCGATAAGTATACATTCAATTTTGGTGAGCAGAAGTCACTTCAGAAAGATGTGATTAAGCTAAAGAAAAAGATACGCGTCTCATGTAACAAACAAATGCGTATCAAGCAAGGATATGTACAAATGCAGGTGAATTTGATTTTTGGGATCTCTTAATTATTCAAATTCAATACTTTATTTACTCAATAAATTGACTTCATATCACATAAGCTGGTTACTTGTATCCACGAAAAGTGATAAGAATAGGTTTGGAATAAGGTCCTGCCTTCTTAAAACAGTGTTGTTAACTTCTTTCAACCGTTTTTTCCTCTTGATATATTCTGTTTTACATAGAAGTACCATATACCATTTATGTCATAAGGTGAAGTTGGGCAGATAAAATTTTCATACTTGGACATCACTATTGACGTAATTGGCATATAAAGTTTATTGTCCAATTAACGTTAAATGTTTGTTCGTTGTTGTTAAATTTTTATTCGATTTCGAAATCTATCTCAAGCTAAGATAAACTATTAGATCCGAAACCGGAAACATTATGCAATTAAGGCATTTTACTATAACGATTCCATAACAGTAATCTTTTTTTCTCTCTCTATCTGTGCTGTCTCTCATTATATGCTAGGAAGGCCTTAAAGTTTTGAATAAGAACATAGGTGTTGATAAAATTTCTGAACAAAGTGTGCTTGAAATATGTAATAAAATATGCAGAAGTATGTTATGTCTATTTGATGTTTGTAGAAAGTGACAAAAGAAAGAAAACAATCAGATTTTCTGAAAAAAGAAATCCGAGATTTGAGTGATCAGATCAGTGATATGAAAGATGATTTACAAACATTGGACATGTATGATAGTGGTGCATTTGGTAAGTTTCGTCCATCGTCTTTCTTTTTTATTGCCTCATTATGCAGTGGTTTTAAATATGTCAAGTGGAAGAGGATGAGCAGTTAAGTTTTGTTCTCATTCCCCTAAGGTATAGAAAGTTGTACGAATTAATCTATCTTTCTAATGCTTAAAAGACAGAGCGATTATTTAATCACACTAAATTTCAAACAAATGGTGCCATAAGTCCAATAACTCGTGAATTTTATGCGGTTTTAATGTCTCATTTTATTTTTTTTTTAAGAGAAAAAAATAAATGAAAGGAAAATTATGGCAAAACAGAAGATTGTAGCACTGTTGGAGTTTAAATGCTGAGATTTTATAGATTTGTGGATATTTTTGATTAGTCCCGAATGTGCATATAGATTATTTATGTCAGGCTTTTTTCTCTACTTTTTTTTTACTGACATGTGTGCTCCATTTTTTGTGTATCAGCGATCTAAAATTTAATGAATGGATAAAATCAGAGAAAAAGGGTGGCATTGCAAAATTTTCATTCCGAAGTGATAAAAATCGTAATAAATGAGCATAATTTATGTTAAATATATACTGAACGATTCTGACTTTAAATTATCTTATGAAACGAGGATAACGGATATTTTTTAAACACACAGAGACTACCATAATGAAGTGTACCACAACTTTCAAATATCGCGAAAAGTTGTTTAAGAGGAATATTTTGCTTATTTAATTCAGAAGTTTGGTTGGCATCAAGAATAATGAGATTTGATATAATTTTATGGACTCTTTAAACAATTCATAGTGAATTCTTTTGCGGAAGTGAAGTTTTGATGAGCTGTGCAAGTTTCTGAGAACTTTTTCTATTATTCGCAAAAAATAAGCTGGGTAATTAATAAAAAGGTCATAAACAGGGAAGTAGCACCATTATAAATTGGTTGCACAGGATAGCAAATAATGATTTTCGCTTATTAGGATTTTTTGAAGAAAGATTTTGGAATTTCGAATATAGTATGATCAAGCAGAAATTATAGCATAACGCCAGTGTCGAGAACAGAGAAATTAACTTCCTGTTTTTACATTCATATTTTTTCCTGTAGATGATGGTGATGACGTAAATGGCATACCAAATTCTCCTTCTGAAGAGGCTTTAGCAGCAGATGGTTCATCTGATGGTGCGGCTCTCGAAATAAATACCGACAATACGGAAACTGTGACAAATAGCAGACTTGCGAGCTTACAGGTTCTACTTCTTCTTTTTATATGTTAACTGTTTATCTTTTACCACCATTTATTTATGTGAATATAAAGTGAAGGAAAACTATTAAAATCATCTTCAGTGATGTTAATAACCAGTACTTCTAATTGCCAATTTCTGTGGCTGGTTCGGGGACAGAATCTTAGGAATTAAGCTCAGTTTAAACAGATGGTTGTTTTATCGTGGATATCGGTGTAGCGCATCAAAACAGGCGTGTCAATTTCACTGATGCTAGCGAAGCAGAAATTTTAAAGAGAATGATTATAAAAATTTTTTCGTAACAAAATATTATCTATTTAGGAGCGATTATTGGAACATTACCAAATAATATCCAGAGGACTGGGTGAAAAAGAATTGAAAACAAGGGCTAAAAAAACGAGAAAAAGATTGTTTTTTTCTTCGCTAATTGCAATTCTGTATTTTTAGAAAGAACTAGACAAAGAGATGAAAGTTAAAGATGGTCTCGAACGTTTCCTTGCAATTGGTCAAACGAGTCGTAAATTACAAGACGAATCAAAGAGCATGTTGTTCGACTCGAAAGCGAAAATTGCACTACTTCGAATGCAAATCGAAAAAATGCAACGACAGGAGCAAGTTGGTGCTGGCTTGTCCGGTGTGTATCATACTAAAATATTTCTACAAGTTTTTAATTTACTCTTTCTCTACATTTTTGAATAATTAACTTAAGAGAAACATATGCTCGTATCATTAAAAAAATGAAAAGTTATTGACGTTTTTAAAGGTTGGTTATTAAAAAGCTTAGAAGTTATTACAATTCACGATATTTATTTTTTTTTTTTTTTTTTTTTTCAGGTAAAACGATACCAACAAAGGCAGAAATGATCGTTGATGATCTTCTATTTAGACTTCGCAAAGAAGCTGCAATTGCTGAAGGAGCTCGGAATATGATCAGGTAGATTTGAAAAGGAGTTTATTGGCAATTTAGAAGATTAGTGTTTCTTTATAAAATAATTTTCATTTCAGAATACTAAGCAGTCAAAGAAAGAGTGATGGAAAAAGTCTTTCGCAAGCTTTCGACAACCAGATGCAATCTGAGGAAAAACTTGATCTTATACGATTAGCATTAGCTAAGTACAGGTAACTAATTATTCTTTAAGTTTACTGCATTAAAAGTGCTAAGTGTTTTTTTTTGTTTTTGTCTTATTTCTTGACAATGTTTCTTTTTTTTTTTTTTGTCAAGCATAAATATCTTCCCTTGCCTTACTTTTCGATGTTACACTGATGATTTGAAATATAAATTAGAATTTAACATATTGGCATTTTATAGTTTCTTGCTGGTTGTATTGAGCACTGCAGGTTGAATGTATGATTGTGGATGTGGAACTTTCTTCTACGTTTTATTTAGTACCATTTACAATATTTTTTTTTAAATTTTTAGTGCACGTTTACCAAATGATTCATCGAAAAAAAATGAAATTCGTGACGCCATTTTGGAATCGGAACGTTTACCTCTCACGGGTCATCGTGATCGCCGTGATGGAACATTCAGTCCACCGATCTCTGCTCCTGGAAGTCCATCACAGGTTTGATACAGCTTCCGCAGTCACTAATTTTCTCCTGTTGTAATATCTTTTCTACTTTAGCTCTCTCTTACTGTAATTTTTCTTTGCAGATAATTTTAGATATTCGTTGTGTGCATGTGTGTACGTGTGTATAATATATGTTGTATGCGTGTATGAACTACAGAAATTCATTCTTAATGTGACACTTTTAAAAATTAAAATTAAATTGTTATGCCAAGTTTTTTACATAGATATTAGTTTTCACATCTCGGAATAGTGGATAAATTTTAAATAAATGTTTAAAATGGTTCATTCATGAAGCTGCTTTCTTTATTAGGTCAGGTAATCATTGAGCTCTTTGTATTATGTGTTAGATTGTCCGAGATTTCTCTCTAACAATCTATAGAGCAACCTAGACAATCTAATACATAACGCTTTATATCTATTTGAGCACTAAAACTTGATCTAGCCTGGAATGCTGAAGTTATTCATAATACTGATTCATAACATAATATTCATTATACATGCTAGTCCTGCACCTGTCTAGTGTATTAGTTTATTCTTTTGCAGGATGATTCAAAATCTGCAAGTCTACCACGTTTAGCGCTTTCACTGAAACGACTCTGTACATTGCCATCATTAGCTGTTAGCGGACGTCTGGAAGTGAGGTAAAACATACTTCTAAGATAACCATAATTTGTAACTTTTATATAGAGAGAAGATAGTAGCGGAAATAGCGAAAACTAGGTTGTGCGTAGTTTTGATGGAAAGCAAATCATTTAAACAATTTATTGTTGCTAATTAATAGAAAAACGAAAGCGGGTAAATTTTTCTTTCTTTCTATATATATATATATATAATACAATATTTATTTTTAAAACTTCAATTGTTTTTAGATTAATTGGTTGTCAAAACTTAATGGCCGACATACCTCGTCGTTTACCACGAACAGAAGTTTCATCAGTGATAGCAATTGGTGGTGATGGTCTGTCTAGTTTCACACAAAAAGCACGTAGCACACGCGGATCTGGCCAACGAGCGTCAAGGTACGTTTGTTTTCTTTCTTTTTACTTTTTTGCCTTTTTTTTTTTTTTTTTTTTTTTTTTTGCTATTTCGGTTTCTAATATACATATCCATGTTTGAAATGCGTATGAAATTAGATACGAACTTAAAGTTGGCTTTTGTTGCGTTCTTTATTAGTATTAATCCATGACGTTTAGCTTACCAGGTAATTATGGTAGAAAACAAAAAAAAAAATCGGTATTGTTTCTTATACGGCAATTTTGCTAATAAAAATAATCGTGAATCTGCTGAAATTTTATCTTTCATGAGTATTTTTGTTTTACACTTCACAAATTTTGACTCAAAAATGAAAACTTCGGTTAATTTTAGCCAAGGTTTCTTTATGTTGTCAGAAATACTAGCGCTAATTGTTTTAATCAAATTAAAAGTATTGAAGTTCTAAATAGTCCCAATAGTAATTATGAGTCTGAATAAAAATTATGAAAAATGTTGAACGAAAAAAAAGACTTTACATTACTTTCCTTAAAATAAGTGGCACTCATTTTTTTGCTTCATATCATGTTCATCCATCATATTTATGAGCTTGTAATATTACTTACAAGTTGCATAGAGGCATATCGTAACGAATTTATTTTTACATTTTTTATAGTATCAAAAAAAAAAAAACGCTAAAATGAAAGTATTTCTTCACAGAGAATTATCTGCTTACAATGCTAACCTATTTAAAAACGAAATTGGGAAGATAAATTCTAACAACAAAGCTTTAAAATATGATGAAACAAATTTCTTCACATAACTTTGTCAGCATTTCTAGATCGGTGAGCAGATGATTCTATTATTGCGTACTGCAATTTCTCATGCAAAAAATTCTGCTAGATCTTTCTGTTTTAAGCTATTACTGACTTTTTCAGTTATCACCAGTTTTTGATTATTAGTTTTTTTTTTCTTAACTTTCTTTTTTTTTGTTTTTTATTAGTTAATTGAGTTTTTGTGCAGAATTTACTAACCTTATCGTATTGCAAGCACAGATATATGTTTTAGGACAAGATCTTCATCAGTTTGGTGTTCTTCGTACGCCTCAACCACCGATGCAGTGTACGTTTTTGTCACCACTTTTCATTTTCACATTTTTAACTTTCATGTATTAGCAAGTTATTGCCATAAGTGTTATGATTATTTCTGTTAATTATCTCATTGAATCTAAATAGTCTATATACGAACATCATGTATTCATGTAATGCCCAATTATCATGACCATTTTGTGGCTTCTTTTGAAAGAAGATAGACGTATATATGCTATGCAACTGATGATGAATTTCAAATGACTTACTTGAGCAGGGAGGCTTGAATTATCCGTTTTTATTTATCATAACATTTTCATCAAGAATGGGACAATTTTATCTGTATGATAAAGACATTATCGCTATTTCCATTTATTCATTGCATTTCTTAGGCTAGGTGTTACAAGTACAAATTTACACCTTTTTTTAATGTTTTGAATTTGAAAATTTGAATTCATGCGCTGATGAAAAGCCGCTGGCACCAACAGTTACTGCAATTATCAGAAATATTATTTATCAGAAATAATCACTGCACGTCATTATACTCTTACATTGCATCCTCTGCAAAATCACTCTGCAAGTTTCGAATCATATTATTGCTGGGATTCCTAATTATCTTGTTCATTTAATTAGAGCATATCATTTGTTAGTTGTTATCTTACATTTAATATAGAAATTTTGCAACGACGATTTCCTACAAATTGTTATATGGATTTATTTTGCACTTGAAAAATTCTAAAGAGAAGATGGTGTAAGAAAATTATCATTTTAAAAGTCAATTAATTTTAAAATGGAAATTGACTGGCTAAAAATATATTTTAAAAGTTCTCAAAGTGATGATAGATTTTTCAAATATGTTGCATATTTATTTAATGATTCGTCTGTTCATTTCGTATAATATCTGTAACAATTCTGTTGAGCTTCAATGTCTGTCGTATTGTTCCATATGTTGTATTTAATATTCGAGCAAATGAAATTATGCGAATGGAACGATCAAATTATATTTTAGTGCAACAGCAAAACTCTCACCAAATGATGAAGTTACGGCAACACTCTTACTGGATAGTCGTGAAGTAGCTTGCACCGATTCACGACCTGTTTCACAGCAAGCATGGGATCAACATTTTAGTATCGATTTAGATAGGGTTTGTTGGTTTCTGAAATGGCTTGAATTAGAATATTTGAAATTTGACCCTGAAATTCGAAATAAAAGGTTCAAAACAAAGGCTGAAAAATGGAGATTAGAGTGAAGTTTTTGTTAAGAGCGTAGTCAAATATATAGGATTTGTAATTAAATATATAGTTTTTTTTTTATGTTTTTAAAATTGCACAGCTATCTTGCTAATAATTTGCTCTTCCACGTTGATGCATTTTCAGTCAAAAGAGCTAGAAATTGAAATTCGATATCGTGACTGGCGCTCAATTTGTGCATTTACTATTGTCAAATTAGGTGATATAGTTGAACCATCAGAACGAGCTGGCATGGTGCTGAACCTTGAACCTCAAGGGGATCTGTTTGCTGAGGTTTGTACGAATTAGTTTTCTTTTTTTGTTTTATAAAATAGTCTTTCCTTAGCTATTGTAAGCCCAATTTTATTTTATTTTTTATTAGATAATACTGGTATCGGAATGAATAAAGCATTGCATAAAAGGATTTTTAATTTAGTCTGTGCAGTTTATATTACAGTTTACGTATGATGTTTCAGTTCAAATATTTGAATCCAGTTGTTAGTAGAAAGCCTAAGCTTGAGCGACAAAAGCGCCTTTTTAGAGTGAAAGGTATTTTAAAAGCTCTTAAATTTTTATTGAAAATGTCCCTTTTTACTAAGCTTATACAAGTGTGTTTTCAATTGTATATCATCTAAAATAAAAATCTAGCACATTTCTGCTATAGTACAATCCTAAAAATATGTAATTTTTGCGATTATACTTTTCAATCGTATCGATTTACTCAGAATACTAAAAGCATTTTGTTTCATCTTTACGAGTAGTTTGTGCAGCTAAATTAGATGGTCAAACTAATGACAGCACTTTTTTGGTTTACTTAAATTTTTCGAAAATTCTCACGGTATTTTCACGTTATTCATTCTGTTGTCTTTCTTTTCATTGCAAGTCTTTTAGATGAATAGGTTTTAGTAGAGAACGAGGAATACATCATATTTAAAAAATGATTTATTGTTTTTTCATCTTTCAGAAAGGAAAGAAATAGCGAGTGCGAAGAAGCAGCTTGGTGTTGCTGCATGGAGCCGCTTAATGAAGCAGTTCGGTGGTTCACAGTCAAATGAAAGTATCGAGCCAATTTTAAGTCCTACATACGGTGGTTTATATACTGCTGCTATTAATAATACTATTACCACTGGTAACTGCTGTTGTTTTGGACAAATTTTATTAGCTTAGATTTTATTAATTCGCAAAGGTGGACATTATTTCTGTGTTTAGAAGCATTTCTACTTATAGTCTTAAACGATATATTGCCTCTCTTGAAGATAGTTATCTTTACACTACCATAGACTTTCACTTCTGGAATAATCTAAAGATAATCATTTTAGTTAATATCAAAATTTTTTTATTTATAGCTTCTTTACCACCAATATCAAAAACTGCTCACACATTGCCATCACGTCTGGCTGCAGATCGAGCTCTGATTTCACCAACTTCTGGATTGTTTCCACCAGAAAATAGTCATATGCGTCCAACACGTCCCCCTCTTGCTCCTAGTTCTATACGTTTTGGAGACATTTCAGAAATATCAAAACCAAAACAAAACCAACGAATCCATGAACAACCAAAGGTATTGATTTCTTCTACCTCATCGATTCGGAATACGCTTTAATCAAGTACTCAGTTTTCAATTTGAAGAAAACAGTGGACTTTCAAGAAACAAACTTTGTATGTATTCGCTCTGGAATGCATCTAATGAATAAACAATCAGGATCATCGAAATTCAAAATTGATCGGAATTTAAAGAACGTTTGATCTAAAAAAAGAGCTATTTTTAGATACCACCAGCAATACCAGCTCGACCATCTCCGAAAACTCAAACTGCAGCATCTCACATCGAATCTCCACCACCCCTGCCAACATCCAAACCACCGCCTCTAACACATAAAAAAACTTCACGATTCACTTCACCTGCGTCTACTCTTACAGTCGACAAATTTCACCTTATTTCCGTTTTAGGAAGAGGACACTTTGGAAAAGTTTGTTTTTAATGTACAAAATTCGTTTCATGATAATTGTAGTAAAATTTGCATATGATCTGTTAATATTTAAACATTGGTAAGATAGGAAACAGTGATAGTTTTGAATAGCGGCAAGAAGGGAAAAATACTTGATGCGAGTTTACTGTTTCTTAGAAAGTAGAACTTAATGTTATCTTTAAAGTTTTGTTACCTTTTGTTTTATATCTTTTTTTTTTTTTTTTTTTTTTTTTTTTGCATGTCACATATACTAAAGGAACCATTTCAATTTAAAAAATTTGAATTATATAGGTTATTCTTGCTCAGTATAAAGGAAATGGAGAATATTATGCACTGAAAGTGCTTAAAAAAGGTGATGTACTTGGTCGTGATGAAGTGGAATCATTGATGGTTGAGAAAAGGATTTTTGAGGTTTGCATCACCGCTTGCAGTTTAATTTTTTAGTGTTTTAATTGTTTCAGTAACGGCTATTTATCGCTATGCATTAAGTGATTCAGAGTTTTATTGATACTTGTAATTGAAATTATAATTCTAGATCAAAGGAAACAAGATGTTTTTGAAGTAATGTTAATAAAATTTTACAAATATAGTTTTTTTTTTTTTTTTTTTTTTTTTTGTGATTTAGGTTCTGAGCTTTTAATAGGTCACATCATTTCAGATTGCAACATCTCATCGTCACCCTTTTCTTGTGAATCTTTTTGCTTGTATACAATCAAAGGAGCATGTTTTCTTTGTTATGGAATATTCGATGGGTGGTGATCTAATGCGACACATACACGATGATATTTTCACTGAAGAGCGAAGCTGCTTTTATGCGGCTTGTGTTTTGTTAGGACTTGAATTTTTGCATGCTAATAACATCATTTATAGGTAAGCAAATTTAAAATGGTAAAAATATTTCGTTTAAATTTTATTGCGATTAATGTAGTTCATTTATTGGTGATAAATTGAAGTAGGCTTCTAGGCGCGAAGTGAATAAGAAAATAAAAAGCTAAGGCTATCTTGAGTGAATTTATAACAAGCGCAAAATCAGCATGAGTCCTCTGGAAAGAATATTAATCTAATTTCTTAACGCATGAGCTTTTCTTCTAGGGATCTCAAACTAGATAATCTGTTGCTGGATCGAGAAGGTTATGTGAAATTAGCTGATTTTGGTTTATGTAAGGAAGGTATGGGACCAACCGATAGGACTTCAACGTTTTGTGGTACTCCAGAATTCCTTGCACCTGAGGTTTATTCATTTTCATTAGTTCTTTATAGACTTTTATAGGCTTACAAGATTACATGCACGTATAACCGCAGGTGATCAGCCTGGAAAAGTTTTAATGAATTCATATATGGAATTATCTTTTGTAAATGTGCGATTGCATAGTGTTGATGCTGATCATTTTCGTACATTTACGGTAATCATTTAGTGTAGCACCCGACTGTGAGGATTGCATGCATGTATAACGATTTTTTTTTTTATGAATTCATATATATGCAGATAAAATGTGCTGTATCTAAAAATCTTTACCATTATTTAGGTATTAACTGAGAATAGCTATACTCGCGCAATTGATTGGTGGGGACTTGGCGTGCTAATTTTTGAAATGTTGGTGGGCGAGGTAAGTGTGGTCTACGATTTCTTTTCGTTAACTCTAAATATTTATTGCAGCAAATTGGCAATATATAAAATAAGAAACTTCTGAAGTTTTAAAATTAAAAAGAAAATGAACATCTTTATATTTCAATTTCAGCAGTTTTATTGTTAATCATTTATCATTACAAATACACACAACGACGTAATTATAGCCACCGTTTTCGGGTGAAGATGAGGAAGAGATATTTGATTCTATTGTAAATGATGATGTACGCTACCCACGTTTCCTTTCCATTGAAAGTATTTCAATCATGAGAAGGGTAAGTCTTTCATCTTTTTAGAATTTTCATGATTGATATACGTACGTTTGTGTTAAAGAATAAAATCCCAAAAAAAAATATATGTATTTCATAGTTACATCATTAGAGATTAATAATATAATATTAAGTATCATTAAATGTCTAGAAAAAAAAGATTTTTTTTAAAATATATTTTACTTTTTATTTTTTTTGCATCAGCATAAGGATATCGATAAGAATACTACAAAGTTATTGTTAGTTTCTTGATGTTAATACTCTCTGCTTCAAACATATCGATGTATCAGAAAAAAGGTGTCAAATGTACAATTTTAATGTGGTTCAGATACTAGTGTTTTTTTCTACTGTGATTTTTTTAAGCACGAGTTTTTTTACAGCATATTCATATAGAATGTTTAGTTTTGTTTTATTTCAGCTTATGCGAAAGAATCCTGAAAAACGATTAGGTTCTGGGCAGAATGATGCACTCGACGTAAAGCAACAACGATTTTTCAAGGTTGCAGTTGAAGTTTTTTTTTTTTTTTTTGAATATAGTAATTCGTCACGTTTAGCATAATGCCAAAATTTGTTTCAGTTAATTTTCAAAAGTCCTTTTTTTTATGATTATTTTCCACAAAAAAGTGCAACGTAACTTTTTCTTTTTTATGCGCTAAATAGAGCAAACATTTATGTGATATCTGACTTTACTTTATTCCATCACACCTTGAATTTTATTGTTTATGTTTGTTACCTTTAATAATTTGCGGATGTGCTTTACATTTCAATACTGTCAAAAGTAATTTAAAAGAAATTGCATCTTGACCATTTTTAGCATGTGAATTGGGATTGGGATAAGTTGTTGAACAAAGAAATCAAACCGAAATTTATTCCACAAATCGTACGTCGATCTTTTTTCTTCTTTTTTTTTGCAGCTTTTTCAACCATTTTATGAGGGATACCTTGTTTCTTTTAACTTGTCTGAGCAGTTCTGTTGCTCAGGAACATCAACTCAGTTTTGTGGTTTTTTAAAAAGAAATAAATATATTTTCAGAAAAATCTGGAGGATGTGAGTAATTTTGATGAAGAATTTACAAAAGAAACACCGCGTTTTTCGTCAGCAAAGAATAAGCGACCCATTACTGATGCCGATCAGATGCTCTTCAGAGATTTTGATTTTTCTTTGATTGGTTAATTAGAAATTCTTTTTTTCCTCGGTTTCATATTTTTATATAGGAACTAGCAAAGAGTGCCTTTTCTTCTTTATCCTTCTTATTTTTCTTGTAATGATAAGAAAAAAGAATGCGTATCTAATCAACAAAAAGATTTGTTTGTTGTGTAATTTCAAAAAAATAATGATTCATTTCCTGTAAAGATCAAGCACTTCTTTTTTTGATTAGTTTATTGCATATACTTTCTTATAAATTTGATGACTAAAATTTCAAGAGTTAAGGATAACTATCTAATATAACAGGCTAGTACTATATTTGACCTGTTACTAAAAGCTGAAATCTAAAATTTTCGAAACAATTCCAAAAAAAAAACGCGAAGTGATTTGAAGGCGATATTTTAAAATTGTGTTTAAGTAGTTTTTTGCTTGATTTCACCATTTTTCTTCATGTGTTTTTGCATTCAATGACTGTTATTACACTCGTTTTTTGCTGTTTATCTGTTCTTTTAGATTTTAGTGCAGTGGCAGTTTCTTGTTTTAGAATTTTCTCAATCATTAAATTATTTCTTCAGTTATTGTTTTTGCCATAAACTTAGTCTTCAGATGCCAATACTCTAGGAAAGGCTTAGAAATTTTGTCCTTGTTAACTATGTTTCAGTTTTATTTCTTGATATATTTTTTCTACGAAGTTTTCTTGGACGAAAATGTTGATAGAAACTTTATGTCTTATTGTGAGGGAAAAATTATGATTTAGTTTTTTTCCGCTGGTTTTATTTCTATATAATAATGTATCACTTCAAAAGATTGTTTTCTAATCGCTTAAGTTGCCTGTTGCTTGCAATTCTTGTTTCCTATGTTATCCAGGCCTGTGATAATATATTGGCCGAACATAGCTTTTTTTCGGAGAAAAGAGAGACAAGATTATAAGTCTTAATCCTATTCCCTTCAATGCCTTTCTGTTTACTGTTCTTTTATGATGTTTTTAAATTATCACAAAAAACTAGCTCTGGTTACAATTAAGAAAAGAAAACGTACCTTTTTCTTTCACATATTTAAAGTAATAGTGATTTTACACTTTTCGAGACTGAGATAATGCAACATGTGTTGGTTACTTATTTCATATTCTGAAAATACTCTAAACTGTTGTCTTAATCCGGTCAGTTACGTCCAAAACTCTCTTCATTATAGGTTTCACTCTTCAGAATTATACAGTGCTGGTTGCCAAACTAGGAAATGATTTTGCATTTCAAATTATTTTTCAACAATTATAATTTGTCCCTCTATTGACGTTTTTTTCTCTACATTACAGTAATAGTAAAATGTCAAAATGAGTGAAATAGTTAAGGATATTCATTCCTCTATTGGCCTTTTCCTTTATCATTGATTTTGATTGAGAAATTTTCAGTATTTTAGTTAATTAATCGAGGGATAAGGCAGTATTTCATGAAAAATACCATATTGATATGTTTTACTATTATTCGGGAATAATAAATTGTTTGTTTTAATTGACTAATGTATTTCCCTATTCTATTAACTAATGAAATAAAAGATTTGTATTAGTTCAGAATGATTGTCTGTTCGTTAACAGCACGAAAGTATACTGACATTGTAGATGCAATCACAACTGAGAATCGATTCATCAACACTTTGGAAGAGTTATATACGTAAGCTACTGTACGTGAGCTTTGTGTGTAACACGTTGTACATAAGTTCTTTATTACAATAAGATTTGAGAAGGACTTCTACACTATAAAGTATTTATGTTATACTAGGTGGGAACTTCTGTAACATATAATTGCGCAAGCAAAACTTTTGTATTTTGTTTTCGTTAGTTAAAATTTAGGTATAACAATTTTATCTCAAGAGACGTACTATTTTAATTTATCAGAATTGCAAAACATTCACCAAAAGTATTCAGAATAAAATATTTGTAGTACCACAATTATTTTCTCAGTGGTAAGTATTCTGTGCTATAAATTTTTAGCAGCCATTCAGACAAGGAGAACAAAAGTATCTTTAAATATGGCGCTAAGTACAGTGCTTATCAATTCTCATACATATGTTTTGCATCAATTACTGTTTACATTGATACAAAAAATTAAATTTTTAGGTTTTTCGAGCTTCTTTCTCAGATTGTTATTTTTTGTGAAGTGTTTTCAAGGATGTCTACAGAAGATGAATCTATCAAGGAAGTTCGGCCTTTACGTAAAATTGGTTTAAAGGTTAAATGTTATTAAAAGAACTTTGGGACTTTAATGTATAGTTATTTATTTCAATGGAATAGCAGGTAATGTAGGACAAAGGAACAAAAAATTATGATAATGGAATCGATCAAATCTCAATTTGATAGTTACGTTGAACTTGTTACGTGACCAGTATTCTACAACCTTAAAATGCTATCTTATTTATTTTTCCTTCTCAAGTTTCCATCCCTTTGTTTACTTCTCTTTTAAATTAGCATTTAAGTTTTCCTTTTTTATTTTTTGCATAGTCCAGGAAAAACTTCAAGCTGATCCCGGATTTCCACTTACAGTTGTGTCAACAGCAGTTAACTTTACCCTGTCAAGTGTGTTCTTTTATGGTGTTACAGGAAATCCACGTACTAGCATGTAAGCATTGAGCATTTTTATATTAGAAAAAGATGGAAATTTGGTGTTTTATTTTAAATCATTTTTAATTCCTTAGTTTTAATTCCTTCAAAAATTTTCTAAATTGTCATAATTTTTGCGTCGTCCTTCTGTTAATCATTGCAGTACTTTAATGATTTTATATACATATATTAAGAAAATTTCTGTAGAATATAAAATTTTTCATAAAATGAAGATGATCAAAAAAGGAGGAATTATGAATATGGGACGTAAGTGAAGTAATTTAAATAGGATTCATTATTATAGACTTGCTGGTTTGATATCAATTCCATTTTGTATTATAACAAATATCCTGGATACAGAAAAGGATTATAAAATATGGAAAGAAGCGGAAGGAATCAGAGCACGTGGTTTGCCGGAAATATTAATTTCCAGGAGGCCGAAATATGATTGGGATTATTATGAACCCTTACGGAAAGAAATCGAACGATTTTATAATTATGATACGGAAAACAAACAGGAAGCTAGCTAGTTGTTGTTTCAATATTTCTGCGAAGTAATCGCAAAATAATATCTTTGTGCCTGATTTTTGACGCTTTTGCATGGTGTCATATCTTTCATTCTTTTAAAAAGTGAAGACTAAGTCTCTTTCGAATAAAATTTTGACCATATCAAGATTATCTAAACAAAAATGGTTATGTGAAACAATTCTATGGCTCAAACTGTTTCAGTGTTTTCTTGTTCTTTTGTTAATTATTAATTAATTTCTTTCGGGAATAATTTTTTGAATAAAACATACGAGCTAACATAGAACAAATAATCATGATGTATAGGTCTTAAATTTTAAACGAAACGTGTTTGTTAACAAACCATCAGAATAAAATTAAGTATATAGGAATTCTAACAAACAGTATGTTAGACGATTATAGATTTTACCTCGTTGAAAATCTTACCTAATAGTTCATTGTATGGGCAAACCCAAAGGACGCATTTAGAAAATTTCTAGATTTAGGCTTACCGAAATTTATCTTTAAAATTCTGATCATCCTAATATTTTTAATCGTTATTATGGACCAAATGAAGTATTGCAAGCATTATTAGTAATAAAGCGCAATGCAAAATTATTCAGACTTTATTTGCCATCAATTTTGCTCGCTAACAATTATTTTAATTCTGAAAGCGAAGATCAGGTAAGATTTGTGATCAGTCATGAATTCAAATGTGAGTTATGAATTGCGATTATTTGCTCAAATAATAAATATTTCTGGGATTTATGCTTGAGCGATACTAGATTAAACGATAAGAACGTTTGAATGAGGAAGGATTATTCATTATAAGCTGAAAAAATTTCATCCAAATAGCATTTTATATTCGATTTCTGCTTTCAAAATGCCGTTTTGCCTAATTCTCATTACAAAACCAAATTACTGATTGATAAATATTTTGAAAATGATAAAATAATTGATAATATTTTTAAAGAATGATGGATTATTTTCTTGGTCAACACTCGTCTGTAAGTTTTACGTTTGTATCAGAAATGGATTTTAATTATGTCATAGACAATTTTTTACTTTTACATTATGTTATGATGATAATAATCAATAATAATTCTAACGAATAATAATAACAACAACAATAGTAATAATAATAAAATATTAGCAATATTAATAATAATAATTATTATTACTATTATAATTAGTGATGTTAAATAATATTATTAATAAATGACAATAATAATAAATAAACAAGTAAATGAATAAATAAATTAGTTAAATAATAATAAGTGATATGGTATTGACTCCTATCATCTACACTAGTGCTTGTTAATATTTTCAATAAGTGATGATATTTTTGAAAGGTAGCAAAATGAAAAATAGTTTCAATAAATCCAATTAACATTTCCGTTATTGCTGCAAAACTTTTGAAATACGCCTGATCATTCTGACTCTTTTGCAACAGCAATTGTCCATTCCACGTGTACGACGGTATACTATCATAAATCCTCACTTATCGCGTATGTATTGTAAATGAATGAAGTGGGTTCTCAAGCAACAAAAATTTCTCTGATATTTCATTTGGCTATTTAAAATCTTTTTTTGTACCCAGAATCCATCCTTTTATTGTTCAGAATCTCTTCTTGCCATTCAGCATCTCTCTTTGTACTTCTTTTCTTGTTTGAAATCAGATTGTAACTTCACTGTTAACTTTAAACCTTACATTAGCTCATCGACATGAAATAACTCCCGTAGTTTTATTTCTTTATTAATTTTATTTAAGGATTTTTTATGAAAAGAAGAAATGCATTAATGAAACACAGAAATAGAAAAAAAGGAATTAAATTTGGAGAAAAAAAAAAACTAGAAATTAATAAAAAATAATTTGGAGACTTTTAAATTAACAAAAGATCGAAGAGAAATCAATTTATAATTGTTATGAGTTTTTTACAGTTATTTTGTAATCTTATTGTAGCGAATAAATATACCATAGTATTCGTATTCCTTTTTCCACTTATATTTCGTTTTATTTTGTATCAAGAAAAAAGAAAAGAACCTTAAACGATTTGTTTGGGTACGGAATTGGATGAAATTCGAATCTATTGACCTATTTTAGGAATTTTTTTTTGAAAAATGTGTACTTTTTAAAAATATTTTCATTTTTTCGTTTGTTTATTGTTTCCTTTTTGTCAATTTGTCAATAATACGGATAGATCCATTTCATTTCTTACTGAAAAAAAAAAAAATGAAAAAAGAAAAGAGAGAAAAAGAAAACGAAAACGGAAATAAGTGACAGTTGTTCGTTTCGGTTCTCATTTAAATCAAAATGGAGAAATCCCTTTCCATTCATTTTTTTTTTTAAGTCTTTCCTTTTTTTCTTAGTGAAGTTGAAAGAAGAGAAAGATATGGAAACCTTATCTCACCTTTTTAAATTTTGACAACAACTTTAACAATCAGTTTTATCAAACATTTGACAATTTAATTGGTTGTTTTCCGCTTTTTTTTCTGCTGTAGGAAAAATTATTTCTGAAACCAAAAATTTTCTTTTGTATTTCGTTTTCTTGATTTTTAATGTCATTTATTTATTTATTATTTCTCACTCGTTTATTGTTATTTTTGTGTCATTTCAGGAGAAATTGGATTTCAGAAAAAATGAAAAAATGAAGGAAGTTAAAACAACAAAAGTGATAGAAAAGAAGGCCAGAAAAAAAGAAAAAAAACGATGAAACCGGTGATATGTATATGTATCATTAAACATTAATCATTGAACTAATTTAGTACTTAAATTCAGTTTTTGCGAAAAATAGGAAAGAACGAGGGCAAAGAGCAAAAGAGGAGGTAAAAAGATTTTTTAAAAAAAAAGAACGATAATGTAACCGGATTCAATTGCTGATCCAATTTAGTATTTAAACTCAATATTAATTTACAGATTCTACACTTCAATTCTTAAACCGTCATTTAAACAGAATTTTTAAGTGTCATATTGTACTGACATGCTTTCAAATTTCTTATTCAAATGTATCTTAAATTAAAATATTGGAAAAATTAAATATATTAAACTAGTTTTTCAAATTTTTCTATCCTATTCTATTTTCTTTCATTTTTGCAGGAAAAAAAAAATGCAACAGTATCGTTTACATGGTCCTGCTACTGTTGCAGCCTCCGTATGCGGAATAGCATTCATTGCTCTGATTATAATATTTCCGGTAATCCTGAATGATATAGCACAAATGGAAGAAGAATTGACTTTACATCGTGATCAATATCAAACTTTATCTAATACAATTTGGTATTATTTGATGCAAGAAAGTGATCAGTTACGATTAACTCGTTCGGTACGACGAAATAGATCACAATGTAAGTTAACAAATGCAAAATTTCCTGATCATCCTTTTACTTATTATAATTTGAGATTTATTATTATCGAATTAAATCATTCAGTCAAATCCATCTATCTTTTTCCTAATAAAATTAATTTTGAATTTTGATCAATTTATAAATTTTTTATAGATGGTGGTGGGGAAGAAAATGGTGATAAAAAAGGTATAGAAGAAGGCAGAGATGGATATGGAGAGGAAGGAAATGGTGGAAGGAATGGACCTGAGAGTAAAAAGATACCAAACGGTGTGAAAGGTCAAAATGGCTGTCCACGTGGACCAACTGGGCCACCTGGTGAACCGGGTGAAAGAGGTTATAAAATGTCCAATTATTATACCTTTCTGGTAAACGGATAAAAGTGTAAGTTATTAAGACGAAAAAACTGGTAAACAGATAAAAAGTGTTATTGAAAAAAAAAAAAAAAAAGAAAAAAGAAAAAAAGATGAAGCGTAAATCTTAAAAAAATTATATTAAATTTGTTAAGAAGTCAAAAAATCTATCAATAATTATGTAGCAGCTAACGACAACATTTCAGGAGAGAATGGCATGGACGGTTTACCGGGCAAGGAAGGTGTTGCAGGCATGTATGAAAGTCCGAAAGAAGGCCCATGTGCACAGTGTCCACCAGGACGACCTGGTTTACCAGGCTATAAGGGAAGAAGAGGACCACGTGGACCATTTGGCAAAAAAGGAGAGCCTGGAAAGCCTGGTAAACAAATTTTCCACTTCTTAGAAAAACCTAAAATTCATTTCACGGAATGATTTATTTTTTCCAGCTATTATAGTGAACCATTTCAGGAGCCTATTACCTTTCTACCACTGTAGCTAACCGTTTTTCTTTGAGTACTGTAACGGGCAATTTCTATTTATAGGAGTTTGATGATTCCAAAAAGGATTTTTGTGCCAAATTATTAAAAATAATTTTGGATTTTTGAATTTTAAGGACGTGATGGAGAGGCAGGCGAAGAAGGACCTGAAGGTGATGTTGGCCAAGCTGGGCCACAAGGACCTCCTGGTGAAAATGGTAAGTTGAAAGTAGAGCAGATTTTTTTACATGCTACATTTCTTGTTTTTTTCGACATTGATTCTATATGCGTATTATAAATTATTTTAATGAATTTTTGATGAAAAAGGTTAATTTATTGGAATGAAATTTTGATTAATTTCGGACTTTTTGTTCAGTTTTCTTATTCAGTAAAATCGTATTTTGTTCCAGGTGAACCCGGGCAAGATGGTTATATATATGCTCGCGGCCCACCTGGAAAAAAAGGCGATGCTGGACCAAGAGGACCAGAAGGAGATCAAGGTCCACCTGGCGAACGAGGTGATGAAGGCGAAATAGGTAATTATAAATTTGTTAATTTTTAGAAGAATTTTAATCGATCAAAAACACTTTGAAAAATGTCACTTCATTAAGGATTGGCTGGAGAACCTGGTCGTCCTGGACCAACAGGAGTAGAAGGACCAATGGGCATTCCTGGGCCAGTCGGAGAACGGGGAAGAATGGGTATGTTATTTCAGATTTCAATCATGTGACTATATGAATATCGTATTTCTTTTCAATTGACTCGCAATTTCTTAGGTGCCGATGCTGAATATTGTCCTTGTCCGGTACGAAATGGTAAGGGAAATGATGCCGGATATGATTTCAAGCAGCCAT